ATACTAGGAAACTAGTCATTCAGATTTCTGGACTGGGGCAACTGGTATCTCATAGAATTTGGTTATGGGTTCTCACTCTCTTATCCATACATCTGAGTGGGGATAGTTCTGAATGCCTGCATTTTTATATTAATTGCTTATTTCTCTTGCCTCTCTTTTCCTCCCTGCTTTTTTATGCCTGTCCCCATCTTACCTTCACCATTTAACAAATTAGCCTTACATCCATTGTAGGAAAAACAATGGAAAGGCTCATAATAGAGAGAGATCTAGTGATGCTAGATAGGGAAGGGAGGCTGACAGCCACACAACACGGCTTCCGCAAAAACAGGTCCTGCCAGACAGATCTTGTGGAATTCTATGACAAGGTTTCGAGATGGCTAGATGGAGGGGATGCAGTGGATGTGGTATACCTGGATTTCAGCAAGGCCTTTGACAAAGTGCCCCATGATATCCTGGTGGAGAAACTGAGGAGTTTTGGGATACACCAAAGCACTGGCCGGTGGATTAGGGCATGGTTGACTGACCGAAAGCAGAAGGTAACCATTAGCGGGGAATCATCAGGATGGCGGCCAGTGACAAGCGGGGTCCCCCAGGGCTCTGTCCTGGGGCTGATCCTGTTTAATCTTTTCATTAATGACATGGAAGAAAGGGTGAACAGTCTGCTGATCAAATTCGCAGATGACACTAAAACTGGAGCAGTGGCCACAACTGAGGAGCAGGTACTCCAGATCCAAAAGGATCTGGACAGACTGTGGAAGTGGGCAGGAGACAACAGGATGGCGTTCAATGTGGATAAGTGCAAGGTCTTGCACTTGGGGCATAGGAATAGCTGTCATAAGTGCAGGTTTGGTGACAAGTGGCTGGAGAGCAGCACTTGTGAAAGGGACCTCGGGGTACTGGTTGACTGCAGGCTAAACAGGAGTCAGCAGTGTGATGCGGAGGTATTACTACCACTCTACATGACTCTAATGTGCCTGCAACTGGAGTATTGTGTTCAGTTTTGGGCCCCTCATTACAGAAAGGATATAGCCAGGTTAGAGTCAGTGCAGCCTAGGGCCACAAGGTTGGTGGCCGGTTTGCAGGGGATGGGGTATGAGGCGAGACTGAGGGAGCTGGATCTGTTCAGCCTGGAGAAGAGGAGACTCAGAGGGGACCTGTTGGTGACATACAGGTACATGAGGGGGTGTCACGTGGAGATGGGTAGAGACCTGTTCTCCCCTGCAGAGGAAGGCAGAACGCGCTCCAACGGAGCAAAGCTCAGGGAGCCAAGGTTCCATTAGATGCCAGGAAGCACTTCCTGACAGTCAGGATGCCGAGGGTGTGGAATGGGCTTCCATGAGAGGTTGTTGAGGCCCCATCGGTGCGGGTGTTCAAGGATAGGCTGGATGTCCACATGGTGGGCCTGTCGTGAGCGGAGCCAGCTGGTGCCAGAGGTCAGACTAGATGGCCTGGAAGCCCCCTTCTGACTTGCTCTGTTTTCTATGTTTTCTATGTTTCTAAATCTTTAACTTTGGTTTCCATTTTCTTTGCTTCTTTGGCTCCTTTTAACTTTCTGTCATCACCTTTGTCTGTATTCTACTACATGACCACTAGGTGGTGCTTTGGCATACTGAAACTGCACAAACATCTAAGCATTTCAACAGTGTCTTTTCCAAATGATACCAGATTTTCTTAGATTTTTTTTAAAGAAAAAGACTGTAAAAATACAAGGGAAAGGCCCTGAAGTATAGCAGCATCATATAAAGCGCCTGCAAACTACTAAGGTGGTTCTTTCTTTTTGCAATTTTTAGAAACAAGTATATTGCATCATAATTATAATCTCTAAATTCTGCTTCCTAAGAGAGATCTGCCTAGCCACTTTATGCACCATTTTTTGCCACTATATAAAGAACTTCCTTTATCAAAAGCCTTTTTCTGCCTAATATGGAAATCTGAAGTGCTGTGTTTTAACCTACTGTCCTGGAAACTTTTTAATAGAACTTAAATCTAGTGTGCTTAAAACTGTAATAATAGCTTTGTATTGTGACGGTTGTAAGCTACTTTAGGGACTTGGTCTGTACAGGAATCAAAATAAGAAAAAGTAAGTGCACTGCAGATGCTACATAAACAAAGTTAGTTTTGCCCATTTAATATTACAGATGCTAGAAATATTAATTGTGTTGTAAAATTCCACGCACATGGAATGAAATAGTATTTCTACCCTGGGTACCATGTTTCAGGCAGGATGTGGTTGTATGAAATGGATTATTCATTTGTCCTTGGCAGAACCCCAGAGAAAGACCATTGGCACAATGTCATGAAAGGGAATAAAAAGCCCTTGTTTGTCTGCTACTCAGCAGGATACCTTTTCCATTTTCATCTGTAAGCAGAGTGCATTTACAGTGCACTCAAACCACAGTCTTGCACAGGTAAACCCCACCGAGTTCAATGGGACTTAGTCATAGGTGTGTACAACACTGCTTTCTTTATCATCTTTTGTTTGTAAAATGTGTGGTATATGTTCATATGCTATAAAGGACCTACAGATATGTGAGTTTGAGGTTTCAGTAAGTCCAGTATATTGGGAATGGAAGTATGCAGGTATCAGTTCACCCGAGTAGTTCTTTTTCCTGGTATGAATTTCTTTCATGCATAACAATGTGGATTGTGAATCTGGAAGGGAATCTAATCTGGTGTGGCATTTACATTTACCATAAGTGTGCACTCTAAAAGTACACTGGGATATTGCAGTACAAAGTGCAAATACCATGTCTAAGTAAAAGGTAGAATCATTTGCATGAAAAAAGAAAGACATCTAGAAGCACAGTAGTCATCAGAAATGTTTACAAATACAAGCAATGGCAATTGTTGGAATATATTTATATTTATCCTCAGAAATTAGCCCCAACAACTTCCATGCAATCCTTCCAACTGGTTTCCAGAAGAGATACCATTTTTCTGCCTTTAATTTCCTGTTGTGTGTTAAAAAAGAGAACATAAAACCTAATATTAATAAAAGTGAAGGAAGAACAGGAGGGTAGGAAATTTAGTTTTTTAAAAGAAATGTTAGTTTCAAAATTCTGTACTACTATTCACCCAGAGCTGTAAATCATTCTGTGGAGTGATCTCATACAATTCTGAATCTTCCTGTGTTCTTACTTGCAGGTGCACAGACTTCAAGGTCGTGGTGGCCTTTCTTCTTCACCACTTTCCAAGCAGACTAGGACAAGGGTTTTCTAAATATGGAGAATCGTAGAAGACTTTATCTTGTGAAAGCTGACCAGCTAGACTGGCTCTGTGGTACAGAGGAAGAGTACAGCAGGTAATACTAGCCATTAAAGAAAGATAACTTAATGATAAGAAGTGGATTCCAAACTGCTTGTCTCTTCTCCCTTCAAAGGTGAAATGATCCACCCATGACTTCAAGGCAGCTTCTCTTGCATCAGGTCCAATCACTTGGAGCATCTGAGTCGGCCTTTTTAACCTGATGCTGTAGATTGGGATGTTTGCTGCTAAGTCATCCTTCTCCCAGGTTAGCATGCTCCATTAACTTTCCCACAGTATTTGAAACTGATTCTCAGTGACTGCCTAGCTTATTTCTGGGTCTACTGGGTCTACTGGCTTTGGCATTTCAGCTGTGAATTCTGGCTCCTCCTCTTTGTAAGAATCAGAACCTGAACCCAAAACCTCTGAAGATCCAACCACAAAGGTATTTCTTGTGGGGTGGGGAGATGTCCTCAATTCCCCGTTTCCAACAGGATCCCAAGGGTTTCTTTGGGTGGTGGTGGGGAGATACTTGGAATACAAGTCCCAAGTATCTCCTCCATTTTGCTATTGACCCCAAGTTCTGTACACCTTAGGGAACAGCAAAATTTAGGGAATGTCTCATGGAGGGCACATCCTCACTGAGGTTCTTCCCTCTGTCATGGGATTCCCCCCACTCAGTCTGCAGATTCACCCCATGATAGGGCCCACTTGCAAAACTGGGAGCTACTATGAACCCCTGCCCCCCCCCCAAAAAAAAAACCAGAGATAAAACTGCAGAGAAGGGAGCAAAGAGCCCCTGACAATTCTGGGCAAGGAGATTTCTAGCTCAGCCCATCAAATATGACAAGTCTTTGCAAAATGAGGGAACAGTGACTAACACTCCCTGAAAACCTGTGCTAGTCACTTTAGAGGATGAGTGACTGCTGGATGTGGCCAGAAGGCCAACCCTCCTGGCCAATACCTACTGCAAGGCCTCCCTTTTCTTAATCCCAAATGCTTCATTTACACAAATGGAACAATTCTGGGGTAGAATATTCTGAGTGCACTTATTTGTGTGTGTGACTGATTGGTGTACAGAATTTTAAAAGATGGAGGACAGTGTGCAGGCCCTCAAGGGACTGTTGAGAATCGCTGGAGGTTCCCTCATGGCTACCCCCATCGGGAATATGCAAGAGGGCTCGACAGTCCACTTCTGCAATCTCAAAACCCCCCAAACCACTTTAAGTATGACATGGCAAGCCATGCCTAGCCTGAAGTGGCTTCCAGTGGTTGTAGGAAGTGGGGGGAAATGTGATACCTGGAGCGGGGGGACAAGGGGGGTGGCCCCAGAGCCACAATGTGCCCTAATGTCTGTCAGGCACATCATAGCCTCTTGGGCAACCTGCCCAAGTACACGGCTTGTCCCACAAGGTGGCTTGTGGCCTCATGCAAATCCACCCCCGGATGGAATGACAACCCAAAAAGCCATTAACTGAATTGATGAAATGCATACTAATCCTGGAAAGGGGGGTTTTGGGGCGGAAGGCCAGGCTTATCATCTCACCTGTTAATGCCCTCTCCCCTCTTTCAGGCTAGCTTTACTCTTTGGCAAGGCCCCGTCCTTAATTTAAGGTGGTCCCAGGTTGCACTCCCCGGTCGTGGCAAGGAGACTCGAAATGTGAGGCCGGTGGGCAGCCCTCCAGCAGGCGCTGGCTTGTGTTGCCATGAAAGACTCCATGCTGTTTGTGCCAATTGGAATATTCTTTGGGAATCACATGGAGGCTATTTATAGACTACACAAGCTACCCTCCTTCCCTCTGCCGGCAAACTGCAAACGTGAAGGTCACTAAACAGAGTCCCCCAGGGCTGCCCTTTGTATTTCATGGGGGACAGAGCGTGCTGCTAAGGACACCAATCTCAGGTCAGTCTTTTGCTGGTTTTTCTTCGGTGTGTGGGCCATTAATCAGCCTCAGGTGCTCCTCTCAGCTGGATAGGTCTTGCCTTAAGAGCACAAAGAAATACTTCTCCTTCAACTTGTTTTGTCTTCGAGTTACTGTGTCCTTGTGTCAGGCTGGCAGACAACTGTGGACAGCAGAGATGAAGGCCCAAATGATATCTTATTCGAGTGCACAGAATAACAACTCTTCTCTGCTTCAGAGGAAAGCTAATCCTGCTTAAAAAAAAAAAAAAAGGAAAAAAAATCTGCATCTTGGAGAAATTCGTCCATCCGGTCCTTAAAGGAAATGAGTCAGGAATGATCAAGGAGCAGTTTGAGTTGGGGATTTGAGTTAAATGCCTGGAAAGGGCTCAGCCCTGAAATATGTGGGATTTTGCAATGACGTGTCCTACAGATGGGCAGGGTCCCGATCCAGTTTCGCTTGTGTGTGTGCTACAACCATATCCCATGTTTCTCAAGAAAGCAGCATCCTGAGAATCTCAGCTTTGTTCAGAAAAAAAGAAAAATGTTCTAACCTTCATTCCTGCGAAGATTAACTTGCCATGTATAGGGAATGCTTGTTCAAGTTGCAAAAGTTTAAAAAGGGCAAATAATTGTGTGTGTGTGTGAGAGAGAGAGAGAAGGTGGGGAGAGAGAGGAAAACAAAGAGAAAAGTTCTTTCTCCCTTCTCATGTTTAGCAGAAATTCAGTGAGGCTGCAGTATTCTATATACACGTATATGGAATTAAGTCCCATTGAGCTGATATTTTACTAGACGTGCACAGCATTGCACTGTGAAATTCTCACACTTAAAAAATCACTTATTTATGAGCTATTTAGAAAATTACTTAGTAGATGCTTAGCCTCCTTCTTAACATAAATCCCTCACAAAGCAGATTTCAACTAATGTGTTAGATGAAAAATTAAGATTATTATTAAAATTATTTTAATAATTTAACAATGCGGTCACAGCAACAAAGATTGAATCAAAAGCATAGTACATTAAAATTAGTGAAATGCTGACTGGGATAAACCCATCTATAAGACCCCCCCACAGGTCAGCAAAGAGGCAGACAGTTACACTTTCCAGGGAAAGATATTCCAAAGCAGTGGGGCCACTGCAGAAAAGACTCTGTCTCTGATCCTTCCTAGTCTCAGGGCTCTTACTAGTCAACTGGACAGCAGAATTTCAGATGCTGATCTTAATGACTGGGCAGGCTTATTCAGGTAAAAGTGGTTCTTCAGATAGCCTGGCCCCAAAAGGTTATGGCTTTAATGTCTAGTATTGGCTTCCCTAAACATTCTAGCTTTGTGCCATACATCAATGGTCTTCAGACCATCTTCAAGGGCAGCCCATGTAAAGCAAATTACAGCAATCGAGGCTGTGTGCAACCAGAATGTGTGTCATTATGTTAGATAAGGCCACAACTGATAAGGCCACAACTGATAAACCAGCCAAAGTTGGCACTCATGACCACCGTCTTCATGGTAAATGCCATCTGGAGGCCAAAGAAAGGCACAGGGCTCCTCTATACGAGACATTTCTTGAGGGCTTGTGATTCCTCACTCAGAACAGTTTGAGGTACTTTATGCAACATCCTGGAATCATTTCTAGAACTGGGAGCTTTTGCCAGCAGTGCTTAAGCTTCTTTAGGGATAATTTCTTTCTGTGAAAACTCAGTAGTTCATTATTTTTTTCAGTTGTGTATCAACTTGAACATCCAGACTTTGTCCAAAACTTTGGGACTGGAGATGGAAACAGTATCCCTCTTGTTCGGAATGCATAAATTGTTCCTTTTGTGCTGTAAAATGTTCCACATTTTGATTGTATGAAGAATAAGAAAGAACTAGGGGTAACCTTTACAATTAAAATCAAGTGTCATTGAGCTGCAAACAGTGTATTCAATTTTTTGTACTTAGGACCATATCTTTTTTCAGGGTGCATCAGTGGCTGGCAAAGCCCCATAGAAGCTGCCAATTTCCAGTTTCACATTAATCACACGTTCAGGCAAATCGCTCTATGGCATTCTAGGTATTTTTTCCAGTCAATCTGAAAGTGGGCCTGAGAGAACCTTGCAAACAGCAAAAATATTTGGAACAATTTCATTGCACACCAGGCTTCCAGACTAGTCAATTATCTGTGCCCTCTGCTTTGGGACTCAAACTTCTGTAGCCTGCATTAAACAGTTTTTCAGATATCTATATTTGCAGAGTGCGTGCATTGCTCAAGGCATTTCTCAAAGCACTTTTGACTTTGTGTCCTGCCTACAGCATTGCATTAATTGAATACACTAAGTCCATTCTAATAAAATCTTTGTACCTGCAGGGCAACTGGACCAACATTAAGGGCGGAGTGCATTGCTGCGGTGATTGTGCAAATGGCAGGCGTGCTGAGATGCGCTGGCAACTGTTCACTGCCCTTCCTTCTTACCCTAAACACTAGAGCATTGCAGCGATCCACTGGGCAGCGCTCTTTCAAAACTTTCCCTGCTTTAGGGGACAAACAGACAGCAAAAGGTACAGTGTCTGCCCCTCTTACTGAACACATTTTCCTCTTTCTACTGTGTAAAGCAAAGATCCCATTTCCTTCCCCCACCTTCCTTTAATGGGATCTTTTATTAAAAATATGGCTATGGAAGCATTGATTTACAAAATTGATTACATTCCAGGTCATTAACAGAGCTGGGGCATTTTAAAGGTTTTCCCCTTGATGCCCCAGTGAAATAGTTGATATTTGTTTGTGGCTTTTCTGTAATTTAGTTTCGGTTTATGACTTTTCTGTAATTTAGACCCTTAAAAAAACAATTTTATGTGACAGTGATTTCTGGTTGTACTCTATACTACTAAGAATAGGTTCCTCCTTGAGCCATGAGGCCAGATTCCCAAAGGGAACTGAGGGGAATTCTGTCAGTGGGCACATTTCGAAAGTTGGGAATGTGTCACAGACCATCACACATGGCTGCCCTGGGAGGACTTGGGGGTCATGGACAGTCACACAACACTAATTTCCTATCAGATTAAAATGAGAACAATTAACAAAACTTGGCTAAGAATGGAGTACAAAGTAGAGGTCTGAGCTCCAAAGCGCCGAAACCAAGATTTGTGTGCAGCCTTCCAGAGTTTCAATTAAAAAACCTGAAGAAATAAAATAAAAATCAGACAGTGGAAGGGCATCTGTTGGGTGTCAAGGGAGATGTTTGCGGGTACATTGTTACCACAGGCACCATCTTGGAGCCTCCAGTCCCATTCCTTTCAGCCTTGGGTGGGATGCCTAAATTAATCTGTTTTCTACCCTGAGGGGTTACCAGAAAAGCATTGCCCCGAACTGGCCAAGGGTCGGCATCCTTCATTACTTCTTGGATTTCGGAGCTGGATGAATGTGAGACATATACAGCTCTGTCCTAATGGGCCATCACAGCATGCCCCTTGGCAACTGCCACCTCCGGCAGCCACTTCAGACTGCCAAATGATAAAGCCGGACCTAAACAAGGACTTCTCCCTGGAGCCTCATCCTATTTTCTCTTGAGAAGAGCCAAATAGCCCCTTCCCATGAAGAACAGAAATTTACAAGCAGTTATTTCCCTAATATACTTCCAGAGACGTTTCATTCTTTATTAGGGAATGTGGGGAAAAGGTGCATCACAATTATCTAAATTTCAGCATGATTACTCTGCAGTCAAATCAAAACTGCATTTAAGGGAACCTGATACTTAACAATCCTCCTGTGTAATCTTAATGAACAGAAAACAGTTTTGCAATGGCAGTTGCTACATATTCTGTCTGATACGAGAACTTTGACCAATGTTCTTTTTTAGAAACCTGGAATAATTCTCCAAGGGGGTCAGCAGCATACTAGGTTAACACGGATGAACAGACTGTGACACTTTCAAAATTGGCCTACCTCTTATTAGGGCTGATGTTCAAGTCATAGTCTCTTAGCATTCAGATTATTATTTTGTAAAATATTATATGGTGAAAGTCTGGTTTCTCCCATAATGGTTTACAGAGAAATTGTACTTAATTATTTTAGTACAGTTCATCTGAGACCCACAAGTATGGCTGGCAGGGAAACTCTCTCCCCTTTCTGTTAGCTTCAAGACAATTATACAATGTTATAGGGCCAGCTCTAACATTTGGCAGAATGAATTGATTACCTCAGGCAGCAGATGCCAGGAGATAATGGTGGCAACTAGCCATTCTCCTTGGTTGGAGAATACAGCAGTGCATGCCATATAACCTTTCACCTTCCCCTCCAACTGTTCAGCTGCTTCAGGTATAGCGGAGGACATGATCCCATGCATGGTGTTGACTCAGCTACCAATCCAGAGAGCCTCTGTATATGAAATATGGAGGGGGAGCCATCTTGTTTGTACCAGGCATCAAAATAGGTTTGGTGGACCCCAACTGTTTGTTGAATATGCTGCATGTATCATCTGTATGTCCCAAATCCACCCATTGTCTATCATCCTCTAAACACGTATTCATTTAATGAACAGCGAGTGTTTGTCGCCTTGTGTATTTACAAGCATTTATTAACAACCAAGTGAAATCGTTTTGCCCTTTGATAATTTTGTGGGGAAACTTCAAGGAACATGGAAGGACAATAGAACATTCTGAGATCTGATCAAAATGCTCATAGAAACTGGCTAATATGATGAGGTCAAAATGCAGCCATTGGCCTAATTTCATTTCCTTTGCTTGTGCTCAAACATCTGATGAGAGTAATCCTCAGCCTGCTATTCAGGGAGGAAGAGGGAGAGAGAGAGGTGTCTGCCCACCTTCATCTCTGGCTTCGCCTGCAGCCTGCTTCTGCATGCTGGCTTGAAAAACCTCCCCGAGGCTTTTTGCGAATGGGGCGGCATAAAAATGTTATAAATAAATAAATAAACAAATAAATAAATAAATAAATAAATAAAAAACGAGCCTTGGAAACTTAAAAGTTTCTTTGAACAGAGTTCAATGAAATCAGTGTCATCATCAGTAGTATTTTGGATCCTGTCCCTTCCTTTACATTGCGTAATTTGGAAAATGAATGGAAAGTACAACCACCAATGAATTAAAAAAGATTTTCCTTTCCCTCAGTGATCTCCTTAGTTAACAATTGTGTGGCATCCATCCCTTTGCCATACAGGGAACTTCCAGCTCAGTGCTCCAGTTAGGAGTATAAGAAGAAACATCTGAATCAGTTGTATCTAGATCACTCTCCAGTCTGGCATTCAGCTCTCCCAGAGGCCAATGAGCTGCCTGAGGGAAGCCAACAAGAAAGGCATGAGTACAACAGCACAACTCCAGTTGTTTTCCCCAGCAACTTGTGTACAGAGGCAAACCGATCTCTGAACATGCCTGCCACACTCCTAACTTCATTTGTTCTGTCATCATTTTTATTATTAGAGATTATCTTCATTCATCCAGAAGAACCCAGAGGGTACCGATCTGCCAATCCAGGTAGCTCAATGCAAGGAATGTTTATGAGCCAGCGGTTCTTTTCCACCTGCATCCTGCTGCAGGGATCAATATCTCTTCATAGTCCTTCTTCTCTGTTCCTTATTAGCAGCCAGTTTATGTATCTTGTGTCAAATCCTGGAAGCCATTTCCTTTCAAGGTCAGGCCCAAGGTGTGCCTGCAGATTTTTCAAATTATATTCACAGTGCAAAAGAAGTCCATTTGCTCTTTGGAAAAGGGAAACAAGCTAGCATGCTCAATGGTGTGAGTCAGAGATTCCTTTCTTCATTGAGGGCAGCCTCTGGCATCCAGGTTAGGCCTGTGTTGCATTTGCATGCTTTTGAGCTAGAGAGCTTTTTGGTGGTGGACTGGCTGGGATGTTGAGCTTAGCCTGGACAGACCCAGGTTCAAAGTCCTGTTCGGTCATAAAGTCTGCCTGTTGAATGGCAACCTAACCCACCTCACAGGGTACTTGTAAGGGTAAAATGAAAGGGACCACATGCATATGTTCAGTGGGGGCATAAATGCTGAGCAGCTTACAGGTCACAGAGCTATCCCCACAGTGGCCCACTGAGGTCACTGATACAGAAGGCCCACCCAATGGTATTTTGTGTGTCCTTCTCCCAAACTAGAACCAGTTGTACTTGGAAAGGTTGAGCTTGTATTTCAACTTGAAATGTAGACTGTTTTCCTCTTGTCATGAGTTCTTGTGGCTATAACTTTAGGTTTGTGTGATGCTTCACTATTTAGTGTGATTGGTCACTGTTTAGGTGGGTTAGTCTCCCCAGGTCCTGAGCTGGTTCTACCTTCCCTGGATGTTTATTGGCTCCCCCTGGGCAGGAAGAATTATAAGAAGACTTCCTGTTCCAGTCAAGACTCATCTGAGCAATAGGGTCTTCCTGAGCCCTGGCATGTTCTCCTGGGATTTGTTCTAGGAGCCTGATGAGTGCCTTTGCTCTTCTGGTTTTCTCTGTACCCCTGGCTGCTGTCTTGTTTTTGGTTTCTTGGTCACCATAGTCTGCTGCCCAGTTCTGACACTTAAATATGCACATGGAACTTCATTCCAGTAATTCATGTTACAAAGAGATGTTCATGTTACGAGGAAACTTAACAATCAGGACACCAAAGGATCAATTGAAAAGACAGCTCTGCCTTTGGTTGACCAATCTGAAACAACTTTTTAGAGTTTTGGATATTTTAGCTCAGCCTTTGCTCAGTAGATAGGAGGTTCAAGCACCACAATGAGATTTGCCAGTATATCTAAAAGGCTAGTGGGGATCATGATAAGACCTCACATTGTGTGAGCAGCAATATACCTGTTTTAGTTATGCTGTAGGGAGCTGAAACACAGACCGGTTTGGAGTATAGATGCAGGGCCATGTACAGGTTAGGACTGAATGGCACATGACACGCTCCTCTATTTCCCCACTCTTCTGGCAGTTTTTTTTTTTTAAAGGAAAAGCATCATAGAAAGCTAGAACATAGAAACAGAGTGAGTCATAAGGGATCCCCCGGGCCATCTAGTCTGACCCCTGGCTCCAGCCAGCTCCGCTCATGACATGCCTACAACATTGCAGAGTGGGAAAAGGGGTAGATAGATATAGGAGTATTAACTCTTTGTTTTTCTGTGGTTTGCTCAAAATCATGCCCTGCCCCTTGGCTGCTTTATACACTGCAGGGGAAAAGATGTAGGAACTGGTGTCATCCGAGGCTATTCTCCTGAGGGACCCACACAAACCAATGACCCAACTGGAATGGCTCGATTTCTATGGCATTCCCTACTTCACAAGGCCAGACAGGCATTAACATCATGCAGTTTTTAACACCTGATGATGAGGCCTCTATTCTAGAAAGACTTTCTTGCTAACCTGCTGTAGCGTTTGCTTGTTTTTAATGCATTCTTTTATCTGTTTTCCAGCTTTTGCTGTTTACTGCTCCAGAATCTAGCTGGATATGCAGCGCTATATAAATATTACTAAATAATAAATCTTCCTTGGTGGGAAAGAAGGAGGAGGGTAAATTTGAGAGGACAAGCAGGGAAAAGGAGAAGCATTGGGAACTCCCCTTCTTGACCGCCACCTTCGGGGCTGTTTTCCATTAAAAGCGAAGCTCACGGCCTGGGCTGGGATGCATTTAATGGAGCCGCACATGTACTTCGAACTTTTGCCTCCTCTTCGGGTTTCAGTTGCTTTCTCAATTTTTGTAACAGTTGTGTAAGAGTAGTCAAAAGGAAACAGTGGTGTATTAGATATTGTTTAGTTTACCCTTACAAGAACGGTAGTTTAGATTTATTTTAGTAAGTTCCAGAAAACGATTGCCCAATGAGATAAAGTAAGCAGAGCAAAAGTCAACTTAGAACAGAGTTTCAATATTAAAAAGAGGTGTTTGGAAATATGCACTGGTGGATTTGAAGCTGAGAAAATTTGGATAGGACTTTGTATGAACTAATTCATTTCAGACATGCAGAGACGATTACTACAAATGTCACAGTGATATCCTAATTATACAGAGAAAGGGAAAGGAAATAAGAATGCGTTAGCATTCAGGACTCCAACCTCTTAGTGAATTGCTAAGGATACATTGATTGATTGATTGATTGATTGTATTTGTCACCTGCCCAATAACCAATGTTGCCTGGTTGGATTGCAGCAGAAAGAAACAGAGCTTTCTCAGAAAGAGTCCATAGAGCGTTAAAAGGTGCAAGGAAGAGTAAGTAAAACGATGAATGGCTGGAGCATCTTTCCTATGGGGAAATTGGCCGAGGTCACATGTCACGACCACTTAACAACTGCTTCATAGCCATTCGTGAGTAGGAACAAGCAACTGTGCTGGACTTCTGAGCCTGGCTGTTCCTGCTGTGCTAAGCAGTTGTTGCCCATGATGTCTGGATGCAGAAGTGTGAGTTGTTGAGGAAGGAGCCCATGGTTCCCTCTTGAGTTATAAGTCTAGGCTGTTCCTCTCCCCAAACTCATAATTCCACATGTGCATGTCATGAAATAACCAGCCTGGGTTGTTTAACACAACAGGAATGGGTGGGCAACCAAAAGCCAGCATGGTTGTTCACTTCCTCTTATTTATGGCTAGCCAGGGTTTGTTTAATCATGGGCAACTGTGACATGCAAACACTTGCTTAGAAAAAGCCGGAGTAAGGAGGATATAATAGTGCACTGTATCCACTGTGCCTACTTTCACTTTCATTGCAGAGTTGCCACCTGAGCTCTATCTAAAGAGATGGTCCTTCCCTGTTTTTCCACTGCATGACCTCTTGGTGGCAACGTGGCATAACAGAATAACATCATTATGGAAGTGGGAAAGGTACTTTCAGAAATAACAGTAAATTTGCCCTGCTGTAAGGCAAAACAAAACACTTCACTGAAAAGGCAGTTGAAAGCAGAAGCAAAACTGAGGGGACATGATGTTGCCTAAAGAATGCATAAAGCAGCATGAGCAGCGGAAGACAAGCATGCCAAAAATGCCTTATGAGGAGCAAGTCCAAGTCCAACGGGTACTGGACTCCACAATGAAAATGGAAATAAATATACATGAAAATTAAAAAGTCTTTAAAGACCGGGCGCCTAAAAGATATTAGCATAAGTAGGCAGACCTTCCCAGTGGCAAGAGTCCTGCAAGCAAGGGTCCTTCAGTGGAAAGCCATCCTCCCTTGCCGAAGGGACGGCCTTCCATCACAGGGTGGTACTTGCATGGGTTGATGTGAGAGAAGATGCCTCTTCAGTTCCTGCGACTCTTTTTAGGCCCTTTTTGAAAGGGCTATTTAAAAAATCCCAGTCCAAAATGTGGGCAGGATGAGAATGACCATTTTGACTCCTGTGACCATGTGCAAGGAATAGGTGGGCTCCTTGTGGGCGTTTTGAGGACTTACATGAGATTTAATAGGCTTGAAGAGCACCTCTGGTGGACTACTGCAGGTCGTAAACATATTCTGCTCAGTTGTGATTTATCTTGGGTTAGTTAACCTTTAAGGCTCGTCTCCTCTTGTATATACGGACCTTGACTCTGAGGTCTCTGGAGGGCCTTCTCTGGGATCCTCTTCTGAAGAAAGTGGCTACCAGGAGGAGAGCCCTTTTCATTGTGGCACCTGGACTCTGGAATGAGCTTCCCAAAGAGGTGTGCCCAGCAGTTACCTTATATTTTTTTCCATGCCAGGTGAAGATCTTTTAATTTTCCCAGTATTTTAATAGTTTGTTTTTTAAACTTTTTAACAATAAGTTCCATTTTATTCTGTACCACTGCCATGCTTCCGTGCTGAATCATAGCAATTGCTATTATAATTTGGTTCTTTTCCATTGTGTTTGTGCATCTTTTAAACTTTCATTAAAATTAAATTTTTAATTCTAACTTTTTTGGGGTAGGTAGAGAGGGGCAGGGGAACCATCCTTGTGACATAGCCATCATGTTTTTGGTTTCATAGTTGGAAAGGTCATAGAAGGCCATCAGGTCCAACCCCATTCTCAATGCAGGACTCAGGTCTCCCATCCAGTTCCTAACTGGGCCTGTCTCCTCTCAGCTTCCAAGATTAGGCAGGATGAGGCCCTGCAGGCTGTACAGAAATGGGTTATTCTACCTCAGGGGCCTGCAGTTGTCTTGTCATGATTGTGGCCTGGTCGCACCTTTCTTCAGCATAAACAGTATGAAAACGCGTGTCAGGAGCATCCCAGCCAAACCTTTTATAACCTGAACTTCAATTTGCTGTTCTTCTGGCATCCACTAGCACATTTGTGGGACCATGTGGATTGGCCGTGGAACTGACGGTGGGACGGTTTCATCTGGCGGTGCTCCATGTTGCTAACTAAACACACACGCCCCTACCTCATGCATGTAACCCCATGGAGGGCAATCCATGGGATTGTTTGGTGTGAAGGGAAAAACAGCCTCTTATTATGTGTACAGGATTATGGGGTTGGCTGCTCAGTATTAGTAAACCTTTTCAGAAAGAGCTGATTTTCACTAAATCTAGGATAATAAACAGATCCTGAAAGCAGCAGAAATAGGGCTGAGAGAAAGTGGCTTCTTCTCTGGCTTCTTCTTTCCCGTATGTCAGAGGAATGAGGGGTAATGATAAAATAAGTTCCAGTCCCTCAGATTCTGTATGCATCTCTATCCCATCTGTCTGTCCGTCCATTTACTTTTCCCACACTGGAATCTGTTTTGTTGCTCCGAGAGAGCGATGGCATAAATCCAGAACAGATGAGCATCTAAATTCTCTGCCTGTTAGTCTAGATGGCATAGGTAAGTTCAAAGTCCCAGTTCTGACTTTGGAAATGTGCTCCAGCCCTGGCGCCACCTCCTTGCAGCTGGTGCAGAAAGAGCCATGCTGGCTATGGGTCCGAGGTCTCAAGGGATGGTTTTTGTGGGCAGAGAGGGGGCAGGAGGAAAGCTCTGCCAGCATGCCCTTATTCACCTCACGACACCTCATCCTCTTCACCTTGCATTCTGGGGCAAAATCCTTGGATGGATTTGATTGTCCATCGAAATGCTTGGTAGGGCTGGAGGAGTGGGAAGGCAACCTTTGTCTCCATGCCACTTCTGCATAGGATGCCCACAGTCTTGCATTTGGATGGCATCACTGGATTGTGCTGCCTGGAACAAACACAGGCCAACACTTCAAAGGCTTTAGAGACAGAAATTCTTGGCTTGTTCCTGAAACTTGTTCACCAGTGTGGGGTGATGTGAACTTCTCTTGGGAATGTGTTCTAGGGCCGGGAGCCCACCACCAGAAGTCCCTCAATATTCCTTCCTTCCTTCCTTCCTTCCTTCCTTCCTTCCTTCCTTCCTTCTCCAGTGGATCACGTTTTGTCAGAGCTCTCTGCTATGACCTGTCTGTCTTGGGTGCTCCTGCACGGCAGAGCTCATGGCTTCATTGAGCTACGCAAGCCCCTTCGCCACGACAAGGCAGTGATTCATGGAGGGGAAATTAAATTATTCGCTGGTGAATGTATGTATGTACTGCATGTATGTATGTAAAGCATTAACATACTGTTTAGTTAGCGTAATGCTCTCAAAACAGTTTACAAAACGTAAATTTCTATCAGGCAGTTTAGAAATATAATTTTTTGCCTCCTCAGAATGAGGGCCACACTTGAAGAACGACTTCCAGGAACAACTTAAAGCATGGCTAGGTGTGATGGGAGGGAGCATTCCTTCAGTCCCCACCTTTGCGAGAACTTAGGGATAATTTTGACCTTGACTTCCTTTTCTCTCTCTCTCTCAGTCTCTACATTTCTTTTCTTTAGGAATTCGCTACAAAGATCTTGTTGTTGGTGTCCCCAAGGAAATATACAAGAATGAAAAAAGAGTGGCTCTTTCCCCTGCTGGCGTTCAAGCTTTAGTCAAGCAAGGTTTTAATGTGCAGGTCCAGCACGGGGCTGGTGAGGAAGCGAAGTTCTCTGATGATCAGTACAAAGAGGCTGGAGCCAAAATTGGGGACTTGAAAACTGTGTTTGCATCTGATATCGTTTTGAAGGCAAGTTTGCAATGCAAAATATACTGGATGATCCTATAACCATAAGGGTGTTCCCAGACAAAGTATTCTCTGTAGGTACCAATGTTCTCCCACCTTTACATGTTTTCCCACTGTGTCTTCTTCCCTTTTTCTTACCAAAGAAAATCTGTTAAGGAAGGAAAAGCAGGCTATTGGCTCTAGCAAGACTTCTGTCTTGAAGTCCCCAATGAATATGACTTAATTATTTCATCTATCCATTGAGAAAGCCTGGTCTCTTGGACAGATTTTCTTAATGCGCACCCTCAGGCTTGGTTTGGTTCATTCTTTTTATAATCCAAATTTCAGCATAGAGGGGGCTTGAAATGGGAGAGAAAGGACTGATAAGACTGAATATGAGAATATTGTAGTTACATATATTTTGTCTTTATGTCAGTCATGTGATTTTAGCTTTCCATGGACTTGTTTCATTTTGCTTTTCTATGGTCAAGAAACTCTTCTATAAAAGTTGTAAATTAGTACCAAGGAATTTGATTATTAATTTTAGTGTGTCTGCCTCAAATTACTACTCATTTTCTTTGACCAAAGTTTAATTTGTCCCTTTCAACTTTTAAAATATATTTTTTCTTTTAGTTACCTAGTGATGACCTAGGGTTATAAACTGAACTGATCTGAACTTTCAGTTGTGTGATAGGAACTTAGGATGAATCTCTTCATGGGAAAAAGAGGGTTGGGGGAGGGAGATGAATGAAGTGGCAATACCGTGTAGGTATTAGCTGAGGTTGCTGGAAAGGGATTTTGGTTTAACAAAAACATTACAAGTGTGGCCTATGCTCTCTCCAAGGTCAGAGCTCCAGTCTTTAATGAAGTGTTGGGAGTACATGAGTCAGCCCTACTCAAGGAGAAAGCAACGCTTGTCAGCTTCATCTACCCAGCTCAGAACCCAGACCTTCTGGACAAACTTGCTCAACGCAAAGCCACAGTCTTGGCAATGGACCAAGTTCCTCGAGTCACTATCGCTCAAGGATATGATGCCTTAAGTTCAATGGCCAACATTGCAGGGTTAGAATCCATATTCTCTCTATACAAGTTATCTTACTTTTGCACAGTTTTCTGTGTATACTGTTTTATGCATGTATCCTACTTGCAGAACTCTCAATTGCTTCTAAATTTGCAACATCAAAGAGCAATGCATGCCTCTCCCCACCTCCTTTTTTTAAAATAAAAGATTCTCTTACTTTAGGGCCAATTTCTTAGACCTCGGATACTGGAGAGGGTGTGGGGAGGTAAGATATGCATAACTGCCAAGATGTTCAGCAGCTGGTTCATTTATGCTTTCTGCAAGGGAAGGCAGCTGGAGTACCAAGGAGAGCTGGAGTCAGCTAAGGTGAGAGGAATGCTAATTACTCCTGTCTCTGGAAGAAGGATGTTGCTCCAGGAGGAAGTAGTGGGGGGCCGTCTGAAAATGAATGACCCAAAACAATTATTAGATAGCATTGGTTCCATCCAAATGGCCTTTGAAGTCCATTTAATTTTTGTGTTAATCTTTTTAGCATGTTCCTTTTTTTAGTATGTTGAATTCCCCAATGTGGACCAGCATAGTTCTGATTGGACCCCTACAGGCTGATGTCTGAGTTGAGTGGTGGGATGGAGTGGAATGTGCATTACTTGGAAGCAGAATGGAGCCAGCCAGGTAAGACAGTGGCTTCTCCACTCTTGGGAGACTTCCAAGGCATGCAGAAGTCTCTCAGTTTGTAAAGAAAGATGGACTGTTTGAAAAACCAAAACTGCCAAAAAGGTTGCTGCAAGCTTTTAAGTACAGTTGGGCCTCAGTGGTAGGTGTACTGAGAAGTTTTTTAAAAAATCTGTCTGCATTCTACAGGGATTTATGGTATAGGAGTGGGATTTATATAGTAGAGAGGGAAGTGGGGGAAGGATGCCTTTTCTTTTACCTGGAGATAAAATGCTTGAGTTTGGAGCTGGCCATCCTCTCATATGATATAGTACAGTAGAGGGAATCTTTGGAGAAGAATTGAGGTGTCATTATTCTTGCCCCAGCTCTCCAAGCCAAGAGGCCAGGAGAGCAGCACATGGCTCTTGTTCCAGGCTGCCTGGACCCCCTTTGCAGCTCTCTCTTGTCTTTCTTATATGTAAATGCAGAAACAATGCTCAGCTTTGCATGATCACAGTGGGGAAAGAAACCACAGCTGTTTCTGCCCAGTTCTGTGCTGCATGATTTTCCGAATGAACCCGTGGCTTCCCATGCCATCTGAACCTGGTAAGATGCATCGTAGTGGGTGGCTTCCAAATCACCCTAGAACCCCACAACAAGCCATGGGTTCTGCCATGGTTTGAAAGTCATCTGCACCACAACCCTCACTGGGTTCGGACCAGATGGAAACCATGAGCTGAAGTGGTCATTAGGCAACTCATTTGACGTACAACTGGTGCGGGGGGGCACTGTGATTGTTCCCCCCATGTGGGCATGTGAATCTGGCCAGTATGGAGACCATTCTAGGAGACATGAAGAGAGAAAAGCAGGGCTACTGGAAGACGTGCCTCTTCAGAGAGCAGTCATGGTCCGGTCTCATCACAGATGAAGTATTCTATATGCCGATTTCAGATGGCTCTGCTTAGGAAGCAAGCACCTAGGGAAATGGGAGTGCTTTAATGCAATATTAAAAGGCGCCTGAAGATTTGGATCTCGGCGTAACAAGTAAGTAAGAGCATGGCAGCTGGAGAGACGTAATATCTCCCAGATGTGGAGTTCTGAAAAGAAACAGGAGATCACTTTGAAATGGCAAGCCTACCTTAGTGTCTTGACCAAACTGATCCTGATTGAAATAAAGTGATTTGAATTCCAAACAATGTCAGGATGGTTCTAAACCATTTCAACCATTTCTAGACCATTTCTTTGGTCTACTCTGACCCTGTGTTTCCTTTTCCTTGCTTCATGCTAAGTGTGGTCACCTGTTAAGGCAGTGGGAAGCAACCTTGCATGTCTCTGGCCCATGTCAGTCACCAAACTTCCACTTATTCTCAGAAACGCATAGCAAAATAACAGTTTGTACTCTGAGTCAAAAATCACAACTGCTTTGCAGAAAGCCCTCTTATAAACAATAAGTTGATGTTGAAGTAAATCAAGGTTTCCCCAGGAGAAAGCAGCCATGTAAGCAAATCCAGAATACAGTAGTGAAATCAAATCAATCGTCTAACCTTTGTTTTTAACCGTGCTTTAAAACAAAATGTTCCAAAACTAGTTGGACAAACAGCTGCAGTAGACCTACTTACTTCTGGGGCCCTTATGAAACTACAGGGGAAAGTCCATGTGAGAACAAGACCTTTTTAACTGGCCAGCCTTAATAGTCCTCAGATCAGTTTTTCCATCCAAGGCGTTTTTCAGTGACCTATTAGTAGCCCAGTCCTAATGACATTTTCTCAGAAGTAAGTCCCATTGCTTTGGGGATCAGTTGTTGTAATTCAGAAATAAACACAGTTTGAATCAATTCTCATTTGGAGCTGATTTCAAAGCTGCTGAGATCTTATTTTACTTTATTTCAAATACAATAAAAGTAAAATAATGCAATTATTTTGCACTTCCGAACCAATGCACAAAACAAAACTTAGTTGTACTTTGAAATAGGCACTTCTTTGAATTCTGTAATGAAGCTTTCCAATTAAAAATGTTCAGAGAAAGGGGGAAATTGCACACAGTATAAATGATTATAAATAACATCAAATGCAAAAATATGCACATTAGGCAAAATTGTGTACAAAAACTGTATGTATTATGAGAAATACACACAAAAAATGTGCACAATTGTATCATGTGAACAGAACAACAGAACTGAGATGACTTGAATTTAAGATTGGAAAACTGAAAAACCAAAATGGACAAATTTGTTTGCTCCAGCTTCTAAACATTTGAAGTTGTGCTGACACATTCTGCTATCTTTTGTGGGCAGTGAATTTTACTTTAGGAGGCTTTCCTTGAAATGCAAATAGTTGCTTTGGACAGAAATTTTTAGGCTACCTGGTGGCAGAGTGTTCCTCCCCAACCTGCAGGTACCTAAGTTTGCTTTGGTTTTGGAACTACAACTGACATTAACCACATCCCCCATCCCCACACACAAACACATTCATTGCATCCACACAATTAATCTCAAGCCTAAGCCAATGTGAAATAAATTGCTGAATGTCTACATCACATCTCTCCTACGTTAAGGTCCTCAAAATCCTAAAGCCAAAGCTGCGTTCCCAAGCATCGTTGCAGATTCAGAAGAGAAGAGAAATGGAAGGGGGAAGGAGTTTGGCCAGAGACTCCACCTGGACTATGGGGTGGCATACAAATGTATGAATAAATAACTGATCCCCAACACTGTAGCAGTGTAAAAGATTTACTGAGGCACCGGTTTTTGTGGACTTTAGCCACCTCATCTGCACTCCTCAATGAAGTTTTCACGCAGCTGGGATCAAGCCAGGAGCTCCACCCACCCAACAAGCTGCCATGGTGGCCTAAAAGGCATTAAATACCCAGTCTTTCAGGCATATGTTTTAATCACCCCAACACACACTAGCAACCCCAGTTGCCTCTCTGATACCAGCACATGAAGAGCCGAGAACCATTTTGCTCCCTGGCTACTGTCTCGACGGATAGCTTTCTATGAGACAGTGCAGCTAGATGATATTGAGAGCAGAGTGAACTGAAGCATGGATGCAATTATTCCTCATATGTATACAACAGGGAATTCCCTTGCTAATCTGTGATCATGTAAACCCTGTGTGGAAAAACCAAAGCAAAGATTGCACTGACTTTCCAAAGGACTCTTATGTTGGAAAGATTGTGTTGGGAAGCATCCATGACTGGATTTCCTTAGCACGCTTTCAAAATGTGATTCCCAACCACTACCTCTCCCCACAAAAAATAATAAAAGAAAGAAAGGATTTAAACTTCTGGTTCTCCCGCCCCCGCCCCCATCCTGAAACAACTGGAATGAAACCAGTATAAAGGCTCTTACTGTAAATGATTCAAGACCATGAATATTGAATTTAGACGCAGCCAAACCTGGGGTCGGTCAACCAAAATGGATTAGGAGGAAAGTTATAATTTTATTTTCTTGCCCAACTTGGAATCTCTGTATTTTCTTCCTAATACAGGGAGCCACTGGGAAGAACTTAGACCAGTAGAACAGTTTTGAACACCCCACAATTTACTATGAATAGTTCATAATACATAGAACCCTCCTCCCACACCAACCTATTATTAAATGGATCATGGCATAATGATGTGTAAGAAATTCAGTTTGGGAGTGGAAATCCCCAGACTCTGGCCCAGACTCATGCCCTGAACCCAACACAGGCCAAGAGGTCACACGGGCAGCCAGTGCACACTGAGCCCACATGCCCGCTGTGAATGCAGAGCTTTGGTCCCACACACGACTTGGAGTCTTTGCTTACTTTGTGTATGAATAATTCAGTGCAGAGAAGGGGCTTGCTATTCCTCAGCATCCCTGAGTGATTGCAGACAGGGTGGACTGGCAAAGAATTCCAGCAAGCGCGAGAGAGCCAGATTCCAGCAGGATCCTTGCATCTCTACCATGGAATATCGTTTTTATTACATGTGCTTACTAGGCAGACATTTATTAAATTTTGTGCCACCATTTCTATATGGAAATAGAACTCAGTGGAATCTGATATTAAGGACTCTGATGAAGTGATCAAACAGATTGGACATATTCCAACTAATTCACTGCAGCTCCATGCTGCCTTGGCCTTGTGCTCCTGAAAGTTTCCAACACGTACCAGTCATTCCAGTACTTTGAGTGGTCGTGCAAAATAATTGTACCCAGGCTTGGAAATATTGCATGTGGAAAAAGAAAAGTTACAAGGATCAGGAGCTGACTTGGATTTTTCAAGTTATATTATTGTTTATGTTCCATTGTAGTTCCTTTTAGACCAGGAGGGGGCAGACTTCAGACTTGTTAGTTTTCCTAGAATATCCAGATCCAAGAACTGGAGCAGATTTATGGTAAGAATTAAGGAAGACGATGCTTCTGAGCACATGCTCAACCTAGGAATGTGTGAATCCATACCAGAGCCAAGCTCAGAAGTCCTTTTGCACAAAACCCAGTTAATGTGGATTTGGGAGAACTTCCATTTGGTATTCTTTATCATCAGTGAGCTGGGAGGATGGTAGTTCTTCCAGTTGTGAGACTCTTAGTCAGAAACCCTACTGCAAATCTCCTGCCAACTGGATCTACCGAGGAGCCCTGCTCTGACTTCTGCCCAGCTATGTGCTGGGCAATGGGGCTCCTGCGTTGATGCCGCCGCAGTCCCAAAAGAGGGAACACTCCCTAAGGAAGCAAGGGAGAAGAGGAAAGGCATGCATTAAGGAGTTGAAAACTATGTGGTCATTGCACGATTGTAGGGTGACTGGTGCTTTCAATGTGAAGCTATTAGGAGAAATGATATTCTGGCTGGTGAGAGAGATGCACAGTTTTGCTTGTGGGACTGGTTGCCCGTTTTCCTGGATTTATTTTTCTTTTCATCTACTTTGATTGTTGCCACGTTGGCGTTGTGCTGAGCGATGATAACATAGTGATACAAGCAGTGGTCATCCTATTAATTGAGCTAGATGCTGCCTAAGAGGCCAGAGGGGAGGAAGAACTTTGACCTTAAATTAACCTCCAATCCCAGTGAAAGTGACATGGTCATAATAAAACTTTTCACTCTCCACTTTGTGTCACAGCCCAGTTATGCACACCTCTTCCCTTTGCAATGTTCTCTTAATTTGAAAGTGTGTTACAAGCACTGATATAAATTGCTATGATAGTCCAATTAATATTTTTCATGTAGATAATTCATTCGCTCTGTAACAGTTTTTTTTAAATTTCTTTGACTTCTTATTAATAGTACCTTGGATTGCCTTTTGTATGATTTTTAGGTCTTTTTTCTTTATAATTCCTGTTGATAAACCAAAATTATTCTTTTTCTTTCCTTTCTATCTTTCCAGGTACAAGGCTGTAGTCCTGGCAGCTAATAATTTTGGAAGATTTTTCACAGGGCAAATTACAGCAGCGGGAAAGGTCCCACCAGCAAAGGCATGTATCATGTCATGAGTTTCCTGTGTAGTCAAAATTTTTAGCAAAAATTAAGACTGCAGCTCAAACTAGACAACATATTAGATGCATAACCGACATGCACAGTGTAACAACGTGTGGTCACGTTTCTGCATCTCTTATTTTAAAAACCGAACCAGCAGCTGTGAGGTCTCCAATTCGTATCTTGACTGTAGGAACGGTGGAAGGGGGTCAGCTTTTGCCTTCTGCTGTTTCCCCAGCAAACATTGCAACCCAATCGCTGCTATTTGCCCTGGGAAATTTGCAGTGGGAAGCAGTACCAACTAAACTGTTTTCTTTGGAAAATTGCACATTCAATGGGATTTTAAATTGTGAAAATGGATAACCCTAGTTCCCCCACAAGCCCAGCTTCCTGCAGCAGTTATTTTTAAACATGATATTAAAAATGTGAAAAACTGTTAATTGACATACAATATAGTTTGACCCTGACTGCACTCCCCGCCGCACCATTTTAGCTAGTTTTCAAGCTTATAAATGTACACACCAGCACTGCAATGCTATGCATGATTATTCAGAAATAAGTCCCTGTGTTCAATAAGACAATCTCTCTAGTGTTTCAGAGTTCAGCCTAACAGTCATGAAGACAACACTGCACAGAGTTTCCTACCGCATGCGTACAATTCCAATATTTGGAAGCATGTAGCAAATATTTTCTGCCACTTTCAGTCCCCTGAATGAAGACAGCTGTCTTTCAATGTCTGGTCCCAGAATCTGACAACCAAATGCAATTCTCTGAACAGGGAGAGGCCATTCTTAGCTACTACACTGAGCACAAATAAAATTTCTGTTGTCTTTCTTTCCAGATGCTCATCATTGGTGGTGGTGTAGCTGGCTTAGCCGCAGCTGGAGCAGCCAAATCTATGGGAGCTATTGTCAGGGGGTTTGATACCAGGTACAGTAATTCAGACCCTCTGGTTGTGAGTGACTTTGGTTTTACAGAAAAGAAGGATAGAAATATTCATTTAAATTAAACTGTATTTACAGTCTGCTGAATACCAGTGTGCCTACATTGCTCTGATGTCAAGTAAATGACCTTACTTACTTGACACATTTTATTTTCAATCAAGGCTGTTGATTCTCAGCATGTGTTATCCGGGTCATCAACTACCTATGGCCTGAAAATGCATAATTAAACAATAGCTGTGACATTCTCTCATCTTTGTGTGTAGGCCCCCGGCTTTGGAGCAGTTTAAATCCCTTGGCGCAGAAACGTTGGAAGTCAGTATTGCAGAAGCAGGGGAAGGTGTTGGAGGCTATGCAAAAGAGATGTCCAAGGAATTTATCGAGGCAGAAATGGCGTTATTTGCCAAACAGTGTAAAGAAGTGGATATTGTGATAAGCACTGCCCTTATTCCAGGTACTGTTCAACTTTACAACAATTCCAGATGGCCTTGACAAAATATGCCCAGAAATACAGTTATCATCTCAACCCCATCACAACCCCAGGACCATTGGTGCAAAACTCTGTTGCCCTTCTCCTGCATTCTGTGCAGTCTGCAGACTGTTTTAGGGTGCACTTTGCTCCCACACACACTGGGCATTGGGTACGAATCCTAACTTTGCCCAAGTTGTTATTCATAATGAACTTGGTGAATGGCGTGTCCTTTCTTGCGCTTCGAAGAACCCAAGTACCAGGCACTGAGGAAGGTGGAAACCATGAGACAGACTTCTTTTGGTAAAGCAGAAACTGAACCTGCTCCTGATATTTGAATATTAGATTACTGAGTTTACTGGATGAAATGGTCCCAGTGGCTCCACAGGAATCTAAGGTCCATCTAGAGTCAGTTGATGGCAATGTTTTTAACGCATTGGCTCACTCTCTGTGGAATCCCCACCAGGTGATGTGAGGCTGGTGCCAGTGCTGCATTGCTTTTCATGTCTTCTGAAGCCATTTTTATTTAAGCAAACTTTTCCTGAATGATCATTGGCTTGATTTAATTTTAAATATTTTTATTCTTTCATAGTTTGGTTATTTCCCCCTTAGTATTCACTGTTTGAGATTTTTATTAGATATGGATAGTTTATAAATTTTGCAAAGAAATGCATTCCAATAACAGTCTTGCATAATAAAGAGTAACGTCAAGTGTTGCAGGCTTCAGGGCTAAATGCCACATTCAGAAATATAACGCACAACACTTCCTTCTATGTTGTATTCAGCCTACAGTTGCAGAATTGAAGGCTCCATCATGTTTGAAATTCTTAGGCTCTGGAAAGCTATCAAGTCATGAAGAAGGATTAGAATTTCTGAGTTATGGCCCAAGTGGGTACTCAGGGTAGGATAAACAACCCTACAGGTTTGCTCTCCTTTCATTCCTGTGGAGCAACAGAGACTGGGGAATGGAGTTCCTTATCCATTTTGGCCTTTATTCTGAGTTCCATGGGGGCTATTCGTGGCGCTAAACTTCTTCCCCATGGTGTATCATGGTGGATTCCTATAAAGCTCAAAATAAAAGCTGCAATGGAGAAGGAATGCTGCATGGATGTAGGAGCCACCAACCTGCCTTGCTGTGGAGCTACAAAAGAGGAGGGGCTCTGTGGGTTGTGACCTGGAAACCTGAGGAGCATAGATAGCGGCCTTATACTCACTCAAACTATTGGTCCATCCAACCTGGTATTGCTGATACTGACTGGCAGAACTACTGCCAGATTTCAGACAGACAGTTTTCTCTGCTCCATCTGGAGACACTGGGAATCAAACAGCTCTTCCCCATACAACCATGTTGGAAAAGATAATCAAGTGTAAGATGTTTCAGTGGAGACCAAGGCATTGTATTCCCAGTCACTATATATGGGTACGGAAATGGGACAGCGAAGAAGGCTGGTGGGAAGAAAATTTGTGAATTTGAAACATGGTGCTGGAGGAGAGTTTTGCAAATACCCTGGACGTACAGAAAGAAAAACAAATCACATCAGAACTTTCTCTGGAAGCAAAAATGACAAAGCCATCCTTTTGGACACTTCATGAGAAGGCAAAACTCACTGAGGAAGGCAATCATGCTAGGGAAAGTCAAAGTCAGATGAAGCAAAGAAAGACCAAACAAGAGATGGGTTGACTCCATAAAGGAAGCCACTATTAGTAGGGCTGTTTGGAGGGCTTTCACTCACAAGGTCATCAGTAAATGGAATTGACTTGATGGCACATAACAACAATTACATACAACCATATTTGAGTTAAGTGTGCTACTGAAACCTCCCTTGTTCTTAGCACTATTCTCCACACTCCATAAAATGTAGGAATAGGCTGGTATTTTGACAAAGCAAATTATTCTCCATCGTTGTTTATCTCACTGCCATCCTGTGGTTTCTTGGCACCAGTTTGGGCTTTTAAGAATGGGTTGCGTGAAACTGATGAGGATAACCACACCAAATTTAGCTTCTGCTCTTTCAAATTGCAACAGGGAAAAAGGCTCCTACCCTCATCACCAAGAATATGGTGGAGTCCATGAAGGATGGCTCAGTGGTGGTAGATCTTGCTGCTGAGGCTGGTGGCAATGTGGAGACCACCCGTCCTGGAGAACTTTACAATCACAAGGTTTGTACAGGGTCTGTTTTGTGTTAACTTTCTTACATTTATTGTTTCCTTTTTTCAAGGTGTCCAGAGCATCTCAAGGGTTCTCCCATCCAAACAACAACTAAACTTAGCATTTATTGAACACATTAGATACTTTCTCAAATATTTGTGAATTATTGAGAGTCTCAAATGATAAAATTACGTTAAAACGGTCATCCCTCTCTCAACTGTGGGTAGGATTCCCTGGGTATCCTTGCACCAGTATAAAAACTTGTTGCTGCAAATATCTCTTGAGAGTGATAAGCACAGTAATAGCCATGTGCTTCCAAAGCTCTTCAGTTCTGTACCTCCTCATCTTTCCCAACATAGCCACCTGTTCCCCCCACAGTTCCACTTTTGCAGCAGTGTGACCTCTAGCTCTCCCTCTTACCTCAAATGTGAGAGTTCTGTCCTTTCTTTTCCAGACTTTACCTGTGCTTGCAAACCACAAAAGCTGGCAGACGATTGCCTAGGAATGAGTCTCATCCAATCCCAAACACCTGGGCACCTTAATTTTCAAAATTATAGGAACCCTTGCCTGCACTGTATTTATTCATGCTTGCCCTCCCTTCTTCCCTTGTCATTTCTGGAAAAGAAGAATCCAACATAATGTTACACCAGGAAAGGAATGACTTTGGTAGTTGTGGCCAAAACAAAAGTGCTCTCCAGCACCATCCAATGCTCAGAGTGGCAAGGTAGTTCATTGCCACACTGCATAGGCAAAAACAACTGGTGCTTAAAATGTAGCTACAAAGATTTCGAGCAAATAGTGCTAGTTGCTTGAATGAAACACAAACATCATAAGTACAGCAGAAATATAGGCTTGGCTGCATTCCTTTCGAATTTGGGTCACATCCTTCCAGTGCTCCTTACAGAAATGGGATAGCAAAATAAAGCAAAACATCTCTTTCTCAGCTTATGAGTAATAATAGGACCACAAATTGCGATATTATTCAGATGCATACCCAGTTGCAAGATTTATGCATCTGGAGTTTATAAGTGTGGCTACACACTTTTCAAAATAACCAAGTTCATAATGGCCCTTAAAAATTAATCTGGAAAGTTTTACTAACGAGGCACAGGACTGATCCAGAGTCCAATTTAAGAAGGGGTGTTGGCATTGCATTTTATTTAAGACAGTGTCTCATAAAAGTCAGTCATCACCAACATCCATATTTCCAACTACTGGAAGGTCTTTTGCAGGCACCAGTGCAAATATCATTGCACATTCAACAGCTCATATTAGTAGCTGGGCAAAGGGAACACCTTGCCAGAAAATATAGCATGAATTCCATATATTTATTGTTTTCACTGCTATATTTCTTCAGGCCCATGGAAACCCCCCAACTGGGTAGTTGCACTGTCCCAGTGCCTCATTACTTCTCAAGGCGGCGGCTCTCCTTCCTCTCCTGAGTCCCTCCCTTCTCTTCCAAAATGTGACTGCTCTCATGGTGGGCCTGGGAAACTGTGGGCAACAATCTTGAAGGAGCTTCAAAGGCTCCTGCCCCACTCGGCCCTCCTGCCCTCCCACTGCCTCTTCCATGGTGTCCTCTGCTTCAGAGTCCGATAACAGTGGGGCTGTCACAGATTGGGTATTTTGGAGGGCTGTCATTCATGCGGTTGCCCTAACCTGGAGACAATTTGACAGCACATAACAATATAGAGTGAAGAATGCAGGTGCAGCATAAAAACCTTGACACAACGTACTTCAGTGGTGGGTACTTCAGCATTATCTCCTTAAAGCTAAGGGATGTTTCCATGGATGCTGTGATGAAACCAAGGATACAAATGGCTGGCCACCTGCCAAGGACTCAGCACCCTAGCAAGGGGCTGACTGGTATGAGACCTTGGGCATGGTACTTTTCGCTCGGTCTCACCATTTGTCCCTGGAAAAGTGAATGTTTTTTGATCAGCTGTGTCTACCACAGAAGGCATTTTATGAATGGGCAACTCCCCCCACCGCCCCATGCCCACTATTCTGTGAGATCACTCACAAACTCTCAAACTCCCTGAGACAAAGGGGTTGGGACTCTGCTATATGGCAGGTTTTCTTAAAACCCAAGAGCTCTTTCTTTCCAGCATCCCTGTAAATTACCAGGTAGCTTCAGGAACAGAGAGGAACATACAAGGTACTGAAATGAAAGGGGACATTGAGATTCCAGGGGCTGAAGGTGGTATCCAGTCAAGCTACGGGAGTCAATAATCTAAGTCTCCAAGGGGCATAGAAAAGCCGACTCTAGATTCCCCAGCACAGGGAAGAATGTCAAAGGCTTTCGTTATTGTGCATATAATTTTGTGTATAATTATGATAGAGAGCATTCCACATTGTCATATCTGAAAGATACAAACGGGCCTCCAGAAGCCTGCAGAGTTCGAACAAAAGGGCATAAAGCAGCTAAAGGGCACAGCTGTCAATGGCAGTTTTAATCTTTCAAAAAAAGGTGTTTCATGAGTGGAAGTATGTGTCTGACCTTACAAGTATGTGTCTGGCCCAAAAAATTATGCTTAGCTACTGCCCACAATTTATGGCACAGCACTCTATAATACCCTGCCCCAAACACGACAGGTATTTGGTGGTGATATAAATGGAACTAAACCCAATATATGTTGAAGGTACATCGTTCAAGATCAAACATGGGTCCTTTGTGCAGAAAGGAATGTGATCTTCTTTCACACCAAGTAACTTATAAATTATTGCAAGGCAGATTGATTAAAAGTCCCTTTTAAAGGATTAATTGAAGGGCAATTAATCTGAGAAGCACATTGTGTAACCGGGATAGCCTGGATGTCCAAGAGGTGTTTTCAAAGTTTTTAAAGGCATTCTGCTTCTTAACTCTCAAAATAAGCACCATCTGGTGGTGTAGCTGGTTCCCCAAATGGCCTCCCAGCTTGTTCTGTCATTGGCTCTCGGTCAAAAATAAAGCCTTTTTCTTTTCCCCAAGTGTGGAGCAAGCTGTTCATTTAAAAAACAACCCTCTTACATGTAAAATGAAGTGCCTGCCGTCCTGTGCAAACTTTGATTTATTGTCAGCTAGAAAAGGTGAACCAGGTCTGTGAAAAATGCACTCAAAAGAAGTTTCAGTGCAATGCGTGAAAGGGGTATTTTTTAAACATGTCTGTTTATTTCTCTCCCCGCCCGCAGGGTGTGGTGCACATCGGTTACACAGATTTGCCAAGCCGAATGGCTACCCAGGCCAGTAGCCTTTATTCAAACAACATCTTGAAGCTATTAAAAGCGATTTCTCCTGACAAAGAATACTTTTTCTTTGAGCCAAAGGATGATTTTGATTATGGAACTATTGATCATGTTATTAGAGGGACTACAGTAATGAAGGTGAGGTTCTTTTCCATTTAAAATGCTTTAATGAACAGTTTAACAAAGGTATGTGAAATAATTCAATGGGTAAAGGCTGTTTGAGAACAGCAACAGCAAACTAACTCCTTACTTGGGGCATGAGTCCAGCTTTGCACCTGGCATCAAGGCATACATTCCAAGTTAATTAAGTTGAACACCGGATTGGCAGTTGGGTTTTCCCTCCAGTTCCACCTTTATTTTTATTTTAAGCACTATGCTTGTTTACTTATAAGCCCTTGTATGGTCAATGCCTTAGATGGCTTTTAAGGGGGGTTGCACACAAATTTATTAAGGCATATGGTAACATTGCCTTCCTTGGGTTAGAGTCCTCCAGATGTGATGGACTACAATTCTCATTCTGGCTAGGAATGCTGGGAGTTGTAGTCTAGAGAGCATCTGCAGTATTATTATGGCAAATAGAAATTCGATGTTAGTGGGACACAAGCGTGGGAGAATGCTTTGGCATTTACATTGTTAGATTGATTGACTGATTATATTTATATCCTACTTTTGTTCCTTCAAGGAACCAAGGCAGCTCACACATCCTCCTCCTTGCCATCCTATTCCTACAACAATTCTGTCGGGTGGCTTGGGTTGAGAGTCAGTGACTGGCCCACAATCTCCAAGTTAGCTTCATGGCCAAGTGGAGACTAGAAACTGGATCTCCTGAGTCCCAGTCCATCCCTTGAACCACTGTGCTGCACAAACTCTCTTACATCCATCACATGGGCTGCCTGGAGGTATCTGATTGGGCACCATGATCAGCAGGAACCTGCATTAGGTGGACCTTTGGTCTGATTTGGAAGAGCACTTTCTATGAGCATTGTTGGAATTTACAGGACTCCACCCCCCCCCCCCCCCACACACACACACCAGAATATCCCAAGAGAGAAAAGGGTATTCTGGTACTGACTGCTCTCATTCATTATTTGTTACGAAGACTCAAAGAGCCCACCTTGATTAATGTTCTTAGTTTCTTTGGGTTCCCATGAAAGATTGAATGAGCTTGCTTAGCTTTGTTCGCTATATGTGCTAGGAAAGAGAAGGGATGCCATTAACCATTAGGCAGAGCAGGTGGGTGGACATCCTTTGCAAAACTCTTGATTCAATATTAATGAACAGGGACCTGTGGGTTATTTCTATGATGTGATCATGGAAGGGTTGACGGAATAGTAGCTTTATATTAATTCTAGAAATGACCTTGATATACAAAAGGATGCCATTCAGTGAGGTGCAAGTTTCTTTACATTACTTTTTCACCCAACAGGAAGGACAAAAAATATTTCCAGCACCTTTACCAAAAACGGTACCTCCAGCTGCTCCAGCTAAAACAAAATCTGTTCAGGAAATAGAAGCAGAGAAGCTGGCTGCCATTTCACCTTTCAGAAAGACAGTGACTTCAGCTGGAGTTTATACAACAGGTATTTCCAAATTTGATTAATTTCAAATGTATATGTTGCTTTCCCAAAGCTCAAAGTGTGCATTTAAAAATCATCCGGATCAAGAACAGTGGGAGGACATGAGTTTGGTGCAGTATATTAAAGTCACCAATGGGTTACTGCATGAAAGCCAAAAATAGTTATATATTTTTGGAAAATCTAAGTCGCCATATCAAAACTGTGACCAGAAAAAGCTGCTACCTATCTGTCGTGTACACATGGAGACGTCATAGCCATTTAAAGCCAGCACTGGTAGTCCGATGCTCCCCATTGGCCAGTTCTCTGGGCAGCTCACAAGAGGATAAAACCTAAGCTAAGACCTCTAACCTACAAACAGTTAAAGATGTTAAGCATAGAACTACCAGATACTTACAAAAATATATATTGAAAAGTCCCATGAAATATCTGAGAGAAGAAGGATGATGTAACCTGGCATAGAAAAGATGTTGGTCCAGGTAGACTTCACTGGAGTAAGGAACCAGGAGCATCCTTGAGAAGACTCTCAAACCCCATTTTTGCCTCTGGTCTGGAAACTGGAGGAGTGAAGCATCACTTAATAGCATGGCCTATTGAACCCAGGGGCTGCCAGTTGCTGATTTCTGCAATTAGGGGACACGGACTGTGCTCTGCTACTGACAGCACAGGAGTTTCACATTGCCCGTCCAAACAGTCCCAGGAGAGTGAGGGATTTCATACCTACCTTTTCACAGTACTTGAACAGAAGCCAACACAATAAAATTAAATGGTAAATTAGCTCAAGTAAGCACACAATATGCCTTCATTTACAATTAACTTATGGAACTGATTTCCATAAAAAATTGTTGAGCACTACTAGAGTAAGTGGGAAAGCTTTGGCCATGGTGACGGGCTGATGAAAGTGGGAGACCAGCAACATCTAGAAGGCCACAGATCTCCCAGCCTAGTGTAGAAGACGATTTGATAAATTCTGGGAGGATGTCACAGTGCATGCTCACTGAAAAGTAAATCCCATTGAATTGAATGGGATCTCAGGTAAGTATCTACAGCACTGCAGGCTTAGTAACTGTTTGCTCCAACAGCTAAGAATGGCACCTCCGTGTTCAGAGAAAAATAGTTACCAAATTCTGGGAATGGACATTGAAGGATGGGTGTTTTCATCATGCACTATTGTACCGTGCACACTAAAGGTTAATGAAATTTTCTATTTTAAAAGGGATAGCCGCATTAGAATGGAAGCCACAAAGAGTCTGGTACCACCTTAAAGCCCAACAAATTAAGCTACCAATGTTTCATGGACTACAGCCTGCTTCATTGGATGCATGGATTTTCTATAATCTATGTGAATCTATATATAAAATCTATATATTTTACATATGCTCCATTTTTTATTTTTGGAAAATACAGGCCTGGTTTCCTTACAATTAAGCTCTGCAGCCTTCTTTATCTGAACTGGGGTACCTTGATTTCAGAAATATTTACTTTGAGTAATCATAGAGAGGACTGCAAAATACTGTGTGTCCAGTGGTCAAAGGTATTTATTCCAACCATATGTTTGATCACAGCGCTGGTACATTCTTTCACAGGAGTGGGGAAAGGTTTTTCATGATCTTGGGATGCTGGAAAGTTCCAGGGACCAGGCAGATCACTTTACTGCTGTTGGCAATGAGCTAATGGTACCACCTAAGCATCTAAGTAGTCGAACCTAAACTTTGTTCTTTGTTTTGTTGTTGTTGTTGTTAGTTGCAAACTCATGCCCAACCTATCATGACCCCACAGACAACATTCTTCCAGGCTCTCCTGTCCTCCACCATCCCTCGGAGTTGACCCAAGCTCACACCCACTGCCCCAGTGACTCCATCCAGCCACCTCAACTTCTGCCATCTCCTTCTCCTTTTGCTGTCAAACGTTTCCAGCAGCAGGGTCTTCTCCAGTGAGTTGTTCCTTCTCATTAGGGGGCCAAAATATTTGAGTTTCATCTTCAGTAACTGGCCTGCTAAAGAGCAGCCAAGGTTGCTCTCTTTTAGCATTGACTGATTTGATCTCTTCACAGTCCAAGGGACTCTCAGGAGTCTTCACAATTCAAAGCACCTCAATTCAAAGGGCTCAATTCTTCGGCACTTCCTTATGGTCCCACTTTCACAGACATATATTGGAACTGGGAAAACCATAGCTTTGACTATACGAACTTTTGTTGGCAGGGTGATGTCTCTGCTTTTTAGTATGCTGTCTAGATTTGTCATAGCTTTCCTCCCAAGGAGCCAGCATCTTTTAATTTCTTGGCTGCAGTCACTGTTTGTGGTGATCTTGGAGCCCAGGAAAATAAAATCTGTCATTACCTCCTTTTCTTCCCCATCTATTTGCCAGGAAGTGATAGGACTGGATGTCATGATCTTAATGTTGAGTTTCTTAATGTTGAGTTTCAAGCCAACTTTTGTGCTCTCCTCTTTCACTTGCATGAAGAGGCTCTTTAGTTCCTCCTCACTTTCTGTTCTTTGTTAAATTAACAGAAATCAAATGTTTAAAATTTTACAAAAGGGGAAGATGCCATTTGGTATACTTCTGCAGCAAACAGATGTGAAAATTTAATTGTCAAATAAACTGCTCAAAACTGCTTACTTTGGTGGCATGATGGATGCTGTATAATTTTCACCCTTTGTGGTTTAATTATATCAGAGGTTTTCCATACTGCTTTTCATTAAAAACAACAACAACAAAGCTGTTGACAAGATAAATTCATGACCTGTCATGATAAATTCATGACCTGTCATTTAATGATAGAACGGTCATTAAAACAACAAAACAGTGATAAAATGGCAACATCTCATTAAGATAAGCTGGAATAGCTGACAGTGGTCAATGAAATCCTTGTGCTTTGAATGAGTAGGAGGACTCCACACTAGGACCCCACCTGATCTCAGTGGGGACATCATTCCATGTGATGAGCGCTACAGTGAAGAAGGCTTCATGACTGACATGGGGACAGTTTGGATGAAGTGCGATGCATCGAGAGCAGCCTTCCGCAACCGGGTGATGCTGGCCTACCTGGCTGGTTGGAGATGCTAGGAGATGAAATCCAACACGTCTGGAGGGCACCTGGTTGAGGAAAGCTCCTGTAGGGTCTCCATTTCCCGGGAAAGCAGGATGGCAGCCGCCCAGTCCCTCCACCAGGCACAGCTGTCCCATCTCTGGACCCACCAGGCATCTAAACTTTGAATAATATTGGGCAGGCTTTATGTGTATAGGATGAAAGCAGAGGGTTTATTCCGAGATTTTATGTGGACTGACTGTATGACTACAATCTGAGACACTCATAGTTTCTTAGATCTGACCAAATACATGATTCGTTTTGTTGCTAATAAGGTATCATTTAAGTTAAACGTAGAAACAAGTCTTAAACATGCTGAAGATAATTTCCCATGCTATCATGATACACAATTACCAGATCTTATAGCTATTACTGACATCCCAAAACCTTAGGTTTGTTTGAACTGAGTGGTGCACTACTCAAAATGCATGCATCTTTGCTTAACAATCTCCATATAAGTGTGGATTAGACTGAAAAAGAAATATAATGAAAAGACCACTTTTACATGTATTCAGAGCAATATGGCCACGCTCACCTCCATGAGTCATCCCTTTGGAGCCTGCTAGAGGCTTCTGCTCACATGGTCCTCCTAAAAACAAGCCTTCCATACCATGCTTCTCTTAACCCTGTAGGAAGATGCAGCAGTCCTGTGGGCTGGCATCTGTATAAAGGGTTTTAAATGGCAGCAGACAAAGATGGAAATTGCTAGCCCAGCTAGTAAGGACAGGGGCCTCTATAGCTGCCATGGGTATTAGAGAGGTTGTTTGGTTGCTCAAGTGTTAACAGAGGCTTGGGGTGATCAGTAGAAATTGAAAATGCACGTTGTCTAATTAGAAGCATTTTCCTAGCTTTGAACTGGTTCACACACGTTTATTTGCGTATGTTTTGCTGACAGGTGGTGAACTGCATCTGTGACTCAGCCATCATAGATCAAGTACCACAGATAGACGTTGTCTCATATTGTCACCTTAACTGCAAAGCTTTACATGGACTCAGTCCACAAGCAATATCCATTTGTATGCATCCTTTCTGATGCATCTCATCATGCCTGTTGCCCATGAACCCCCCCTCCCCGCCCACACACACACACACACACACACACACACAGTGTAAAGGCTACTTTATGCAAACGGATGCATTGAAGTTTTTATTGGACAGGATGACTTCGAGCAGAAAGTGTAATATGTGTATTTTCCAGCCTACCTTCCCAAGGGACACACATTGTTGAAACTTGAAAAACAGTCTACCAAGGAGAAGAATTTAGGGTAGCTTTCTCCTGGGTATGCTACTTTTTCTGTGCGCAGAAAGAACGTTCATGGGAGCCTTCCAATGTGCAGGTCCTTGTTTTCAGAGTTGCAGGCAATGTCAGTCAGCTTCATTCTTGAAATTGGCTACACTAAAGCTGACTCCAAGAGCCACAAGCACTTTTCCTTCTGATACTTAAGGTTAACTGGGCTACTCACTTGGAATGTGAAAATAGCCAGTTGGTTAGTCAGCCAGATTAGGTTTCCATAATACCAAAGGATAATGCAAAGCAGGTCATCACAGTTACTCATCATCAGGTATTTGCTGAAGTGCCTGTGTGGTCCGGTACTTTAACAGTTTTCAGATGCTACAATAATTTCTCCCCCTGCTAAACAAGGAAAGCATTCAATGAGAAATCAAGCATCATTTTTCATTTTGTCCTTCTTGGTGCTCTGTCCTTTGATTATTTGCTCAAGCAAAATATTTGACAGCTCAAGAACTGTAATTCTTGGCATTTCCGCATCTGTATGCCAAAGCATCCTGGAACAGACAACTTGGCTAAGTAGATCCTATTGTAGGCAAATTCTCAATTTTTCTGGCAAAAATCGGGAATACAAGTTATGTCTATAAAATCCTATCTCAGAAGGTTGATTCTGCTCCCATTCTTTTTGTTTTCAGGTTCAGAATGTCCATGGCAATAAGGGTGAATTTTTGTTCTTAAATGCCTGTTTTCATGAACTGTTGTTTTTCTGTTTAGGTCTGACAACTGTTTTAGGGCTGGGCCTCGTGTCTCCTAATGCTGCTTTCACACAAATGGTGACCACCTTTGGTCTTGCTGGGATTGTGGGTTACCATACAGTTTGGGGCGTAACACCTGCTCTTCATTCACCTCTAATGTCAGTAACAAATGCAATTTCTGGTAAGTCAAAGACCTTGGATGCTTTTCATTGCTTTGCATGGTGGGTAGTAATTACCATGCCTCACTAATACAGATGGAGAAATTTATTTATTTATTTATTTAAAGTTTTTATATGCCATCCCTTTGCTACATAGCCTTGGGACGGCTCACAAAAGTAATAAATAAAACAATAACAATTAAAACTTGGAAACACACTGGCTGCATAATAAAATATATAAATATTAAACATGATTAAAATACTGTTTGAATAAAATGGTCTTGGCCTGGCACCGAAAAACAAATAGATGGCGCCAGGTGGACCTCTCTGGGGAGCGCATTCCATAGGTGGGGCGCCACAGCAGAGAAAGCCCTCCTCCGGGTACTTTGCCTCCTGACATCTCTCACCGAAGGCTCCCGAGGGAGGGCCTCTGCTGCCAATCTCAAGGAGCGGGAGGGCAAATATGGCCACAGGCGTTCCTTTAGGTATCCGGGTCCCAAGCTGTTAAGGGCTTTATAAGTGATTACCAACACCTTGAATTGAGCCCGGACTTCGATGGGGAGCCTGTGAAGCTGGTAGAGGACTGGGGTTATATGAGACTAACGCCCAGTCCTCGTCAGCAACCTGGCTGCTCTATTTTGCACCATCTGAAGTATCCGGACTGTCTTCAAGAGCAGCCCCACATAGAGCGCGTTACAGAAATCCAGCCGGGAAGTAACCAATGCATGCATCACTGTTCCTAGACAGTCATCCTCCAGGTAGGGGCGCAGCTGATGGATTAGCCAAAGCTGATGGAAAGCGCTCCTCGCCACCGCTGACACTTGAGCTTCCAAAGTCAGCTCCGGGTTGAGGACCACTCCGAAGCTGCGGACCCCGTCTTTTAGAGGGAGTGCAACCCCATTCAGGACAAGATCCAAGTCACTTTCCCAGGAGTTTGAACCACCCACCAGCAGGACCTCCGTCTTGTCGGGATTGAGCTTCAGTTTATTGGCCCTCATCCAGCCCATGCAGAGTGCAGAAATGCAGAGTGAATTAAATCATTCATTCATTCCTTCATTCATTCATTCCAACAGAGTCTTCCGGTGGCTTTTGGTTTGCTGGTTAATGGATGAGGCCAGAAATTTTAGTGTCAGGAAACGGTCAGTTGGAATGCATTCAGATTAAAGTCAGGGCCACCCTACAGTGGGTAGCAGCAGAGATGTGGACTTAGGGGACAACCCATCAAGGCTAGAACCTCGAAACTTGCAGTCAGAGCCTTGAAACTCAGTTGACGGTCACAGTTTGTGTGAGGCCATCTGCCCCCCCACCCTGCTGCTCGTGGCCACTTCTGAAGCAAAGGTACAGGAACCCGGATGATCTGCTTATCCAATGTGCCAGGATTACGTGGCTTTTTGCCCGCATGTGTTACAGCTGCCTTTGAATACTGCATTTCTTCCTGGTTGCTTTTCCTGAAATCAAATGCCCTCACCTTTTACAAAAATGGAAGTCTTGCAGAGACAGGGTCCTTTGAAAATACACATGCATATGTGTGTGCATGCACACACACACACACACACACAGAGTTTAGAGAATATGTAAATTAGCATATGCAAATGTGTGCATTCCTTTCTGGTCCTGTGTGCCCTGGACCTTTTTGGTAGTTAGCACTGCCCTTGGTGACAGCCAAGATTTAGACAATGTGGTTGTGTTCTCACTGTTGGAGAAATTGCCAGAAGGTATGAATATCAAAAGCTCCGAGAGACTGCGCATGCATTCATGTTGTCATGTGCAAACATTGTGTGAGAACAACATCATGCATTATGGCTATAAGAAGCTTTTGGAAAGGATCATTGAGGTATTATGTCAATCAAGTCGAGTTTAATCTTTCTATGGAAAACCACTGGCTCATCCGGCTTTGTACACAGCATGTTGAACTGCCGCTTGAGCAGTTTGTGCTGATCCCATTCAGCAGGTAGAATGGGTACACATGTAATGGGACCTTTGCACTGTGGAAGGCCAGTATGATGCAAACAGCAAGCTTTCCTTGACTGTTCAGTTTCAGGATGCAGAGGATATGGTTTGAATGCTCACAGGTGGGGAGGTATAGTTTTGATTAAATCCTTCCCATCTGTGTTGAATGGATTGTTAGGCATCATTTGTTCCACCATCTACTCATTGACAGAATTTGATTATTTATTTAACCAGAATTCCCTTTTAATGTAAGAGTTCAGAATACATTTCTAGTCTATTTGCCCAGAAGGTAAGTAGGGAGATGCTGACTCTTTAAGCAACTGGCCATGTTCAACCACAACGGGAACATCTGTTATACAATGCAAATTCTGAGAAGAACCATTAATTATTCCTCAGTTATGGCATATAGCTCAATTTCTTTCTGCTTTCTTTTTCCTTTAGGACTTACTGCTGTGGGTGGCTTGGTGCTGATGGGAGGATCTTACCTTCCTGCCAGTGTGCCACAGACATTAGCTTTACTGGCTGCATTTGTTTCCTCTGTCAATATTGCAGGTATGAATTCACTAACACATTCAATCACCCTTCCTTCCTTCCTTCCTTCCTTCCTTCCTTCCTTCCTTCCTTCCTTCCTTCCCCTTATCTTTTGCTGTTCAACTATTACTGGAACATAGGAACATGCTTATATATTGTGTGAGGCCATTGGTTCATCCAGCCCAGTATTGTCCTTGCTCACTGGCAGTAGACATGCTTGTAGAAGCTTCCCTAGCTTGGAGATGCCAGGGACTGAATTTTGGTCCTTCCATGCTCTACCACCGAGCTACAACCCAGAGCATCCTACAGAAACCCACGGCAACCTTTAAATGTTCCAACTCAGCCTTCTCCAACTGTCTCCAAAGATGTTGTGGGTCCTGTTATTTCCAGCCAGCATGGCTGTTGCATTTGTACCAGTTCGGAGGACTCTAGCATGGAGGTGGGTGATGTAATGTTAGCAAAAGTCAGCTTCCTGGGCTGCTTTACCTGAATGTCCATTTGTGCCACTGTGCATTGTCTTTCTGCAATTTTCTGAAAACAGATGTCACACCAGCAGTTTCTGCAGAACCATATTATCTGGGCATGCCTGCCCCTGCTTGTTTAGATCTTTATCAGACACCATTTAAAGCAGTTTTCTAGCAATTGTACAAAATGAATAGAAGCATCATAATGATAGAGGAAGCCCTTAAAGATAGGATAGTCCACTGGCAGCTCTTCTAATAGAAAAATTTCCTTTGTAAAAGAGGATGTATGGTCACCCTAGCACAGTAGAAAAGGTCCCTTAGACCTGAAAGTCTCTCACGCACCAGAGGGCTCAGGTTTGAGGCTGGGGCAGCAGAGTCCAGCAATCTTAACTTTTGGAGCCACTGGAGCAGTTCATGGGCTTTGGGAGCTGCTTGGTTTGATCTTTGCTGAACTGAAGCACCACCAAGTTAATAGCCAGACAAGGACATTCTGCTCATTAGCTCAGCTTGAACAGGTGATCTGAAGAACCAATAAGGGCCTGGCTGGCCTTAGCTACTGAGAAGCTTCCCTTCCCCAGACCTGACCATCTTCCTCACCTTGACTATGGACCTCCCTCTGCTTTGGATGCTGCCTCCATCTCCCTCTGTAGACAAGTGAGTAACTTGGTAGTTCAGTTAATTAGCTTGCATTCTGCAAAAGCTATATAACATTTCTTTGGGCTACAGAGGAGGCAGATCATCTTGTAGTCGGTTGAGCAAACAATTCAAGCAGATTTGCAGAGTACAAGAACATTTTCTAAGTTACAGAAGCATAAGATAAAGTTGATCCAAAACTGTTGGAGATGGCTATGACCCTCCCAGTCGAGGTGCAGCAGGTTCCCTTGACCCACCTTCAAAGGAGATCTTTCCTAGCCAGTCTGTCTGATCACCAGATTACACTGCTCTGTGCCTCCCTTTTCATCTGACTCCAAGCCTATGGATCTCTGATTCTCTCCTGCTCCTCACGCAATTCTGCTTTCCTAGTTTTTTTAGAGGGGCATTTATGGCAGTCCTCCAGTAGATCAGGTACCAGTTGGCTGTCTACCTCTCTGATCTAGCTCTTCTTTACCTTCTGCTTCTGCACCCTTGACATCTCTGCAGCATCTTCCCCATCCTACTCCCGGGGCTTCTGGAGGTGCCCCTGCAGAGGTGTGGTGCCCCACACTCTGGCACACCCAACCCAGCCCTTTCAGCCAACTGGTGGCAGGCCTGACTATAGGTCTCTGATAGGTGCGCCTGGATGGATGACAGAACAGCAGACACAAATGTCATCTGACTGCACTCATACAGTGGCATGTAATGTATTTCTGTTTGCAATACCACCATCATTTCTCAGTTCTGGAAGCATATACTTATTAATCAGCAAACACATAAGTATGGTGATCAATATATTTATGTTGTGTTATTTTTAGTGATGCATTTCCACTTTATGTCCTTGTGCAAAGGGCCAGCCTATTCTGCATAATTGTTCAGTGGCAAGGAAAAACTTTAATTTAGTATACATTCCAGGCTGGAGTGTATCTCCCTCTAGCATTCAAAATGGATGCTACTACTTCACTTTCATTCAAACCATTTGTTGATTTTTCTACCAGGTGGCTTCTTAATTACCCAGCGAATGTTGGATATGTTTAAGCGACCAACTGATCCTCCTGAGTATAATTATCTGTACCTCATCCCTGGAGGAGTATTTGTTGGAGGTTATGGTGCATCTCTTCTCAGTGGATACGGCATTGAACAGGTCAGAGATCATGCCTTTTGTGTGCTGTCCAATCTCTGATTAGGAACGAGTAAGCAAAGTAAAGAAGAGCATCACCAAGCCAGATGAAACAATTACCTGCAGCTTTCTGTGCTACATGTCACATCTTTGTTCCCAATTGTCTTGTTGCCTCACTCTACATTTTTGTTTATTTTTTTAGGGCTGAAATCCTATCCATGTTAAGGAAATCCTTCTACACACAGCATTCTTGAGCTAGCATGGAGCCTAAGCAGAAAGAGGATTGCATAGGATGGCACCCCTAATTTTTTGGTTGATTGGTCATTTGTTTGATGGAAGCAGATATATTCTACTTCCAAGCTGACAGTATTCAATTAGAATTTTATTTATTTATAAAATTTGTATGCCGTCCAATTACTTGCATCTCTGGACAGCTTACAGCATAAATAAATTGACAACCCAATTTTACTGTCCTTTTGGTTTAAAGATTTAGAAAGGCATTTAACTGAGAGTAAGATTATTTTGCCCCTTAAGTCTCCTGCAACTTATTTCTTATTAACATTTGAACTGCTGTCTCAACACTCATTCTTGGAGGACTGCAAGTGGACGATGTGGCAGAATGGGGGGAAACCTTGCCATTATTTCTAAAACTGGAAGCCTGCACAAGCCTTAAGATTCAGTGTTTCTCATTTACAGAAAAACCAGGACAGAAAAAAAATAATAAGGGGTCAACCTGGCCTTTAAAGTACTTTTAACAAGAACTGGAGCAAATGGGTGATCTATTTTATTGGGCTGGCTTGTGTTCAAAATGCATCATGGAAACAAAACCATCTCTGGATGGAAACCTGACTAATACTCTGGAATTTAGATCATTTAGCAATCAGTAGGTATAAAACCTTCATTTCTTTAGAAAACTGCTTTTTAGAGAGTAGCATTTTTAAATGAAATTTGATTCTTCATATTATTGTAAACATTAAAATATACTTTCATGCCTAACGGATAGGTCATGGAGTGTGACACCATTCTCTCCATCAAACAATAAACCAAAGAAAGCTGTTCAATAAAACTCTGTTCTTTTATTAAATATACAGGTGAGCCCAAAGCTTGAACAGTAGACTAGAACAGATGCTGGTAAATGTTTTTGAGATACAGAACAGCGAGTTGGCATGCCATACTGCTATTTAAAAAGTGTCTTGAACCTAGTTTAAAAAAAAACTGGTGAAAAGGGTTTAGAATCGTGCCTTAACATTATATCAACATAGATCTATAGAATGTATGTCCCTTGATCTTATTTATTTATTTCTGCATGTTAGATTTTATGGGATCCTTTTTGGCTGAAGAGTGAATAGTCTTCCTTAAAGAGGTCAGAGTGAAAGCCACAGTGACTTCTCAGTAATGACATGTGTAGTATAAAGTGGAGGTTGGGCCATCTACCCGGCTGTGCTGACTATGCCAGCAGCCGAGGGGGCCCCTTTTCCTTGTCCTTACTCCTGGGCAATGGAGCTGCTTTGGAGCTGCATCCATGAAATTTGAAATGATTTGGGTTAGTTTTCTATTCCTTCTAGCAAGAAGAAAGGTATATTACATATGTATACATATCACACATCTGACAAAGTTTGTGTTGACACACATCGAGGCTTCGGCGAATGGGGCGGCATAAAAATGTTTTAATAAATAAATAAATCGTGTCTGTTACAGGAATTGCAAGATAAAAGAAAGCTTGGTTAAATGAGGATGGAATGACAGAAGTCTGACTGGGATCTGCTTAGATGTGTATGGTTTGCAGGAGATCAGCATGGGTCTCTGCTTTACTCCAAATAGTTTAGGAATAGCAAGGAAAACTGAAAGTTTTTTTTTTTTTTTTTTAATCTGGCTAGTTTGGTCTCGTTCTCTTTGTTCCTGACCTAGGAAAATTGGAATATGATCCCACTGTCTTTTACCAGGACTTTGTATAGCTCTGCTGACCACTCTGAGTTTTATGTTAAGATTTCTGATCTACAGTAATGCACAGATGTAGATTTGTACATACAGTGTGTGGCTGATGGGGGGCATTAGGTAACTGATCCTCCCCACAGTATTTTGCACCTGTCTCTGATTAGTAGATCTAGGATGTTCTAGTGAAAAAGAGAATGCATATCACAAGCCCAAAATCTGCCTACCCAGGTTTAGATAGTTCTGATTAGGTTCTGCAGCCCAGCCTTTATGAACATTTTTTGGAGGGGGGTGAGGAGAATGGTTATTAAGTGTTACCAATTTGATAATGTAGCTTCTCTCCTAAAGGTAATGTTGAACATTTGTGAATAGAAGACAATGGCACACATTTTTCAAGCATGGGGCCAGCATCACATGTTATATATAAGTGCAGGGTCATGCAGGGATCCTGGTGTATCAAAACACTGAAGAATCAAAGAAAGAGGAAAAATCTGACAGAATGACCTCACAAAGGCTGGCATCTTTAAAATGTGTTTGAACTAGTGATCTGTTACTCTTCCACCCATAAATAGGATGGCTGAAACCTTTTAAAATAATACTTGTGTAGAAAAAACAGAATAAATCTAACAAAGATGGTTCTAGTAAGCAACTTTAATCTTGAGCTAACCAATTCTTCCTTTGTTATGCTCTTTTAGGAGGAAATGTGATAGAAAGAACCAAATCCCTTATTCTTATGCACCCTACTTTGTGTATATGTTTTTAAGGCTTTAAGCAGAAGACCCTTTAAAGGCAAAAGACAACAAAATTGTTGGGCAACAATTTAGGGCACAATAAAACATTCAGACATGTGTAAGCTATTGGAAAGGTTTGGTAAAATATATTCTGCAGTTAATATAAGCAGAATGATATAACCTGATTAAAAATGGCTCAACCCAACCCAAGCAAAACTTCACACTCATGGTGCTCCTCATCTGTTTTCTGCAGCTGGGGTCTCTCCTTCTGCACCTGAGCTACAAAGTCTTGTGTGTGACCCAAGAGAAAGGCAAATAAAATTGGTGGGAGGGGGCAATGTATCCTACTTTACAGGGAACAATCCTTTATTTGAAGGGCTGTCAGAAGACAGAACTTTTTGGAGATGTGCCCACTCCAATTCCAGTTTACAGATAAAGAAGCCTAAGAAGTCAGGAGAGCAGAGCCTTGAAGGTATCCATCCAAAGTAGATAAAGAACCTTAAGAAGTCAGGATTGAAGAAGAACCTTGAACTTGCCCATCCATGGTCAGTATCTGGGCAGCAGACTGAGATAGTGCACCTGCCTATGATCTTCTGGAGACTCCAAGAGGTTCCTCACTACGGCACGAAGGAATTAAAAAAATCTGAAATGAATTAGTAGCTATCTCTTATCTGCAGCAGCCTTTTAATTCCAGCTATGGCTCATGTTAAAAATCCAATGCTGACTGGATCCAGGAACTAAGTTGATATTCATATCACTTTCACATTGTAAACAGCTTAAGGCTGGATTGCAGATAACCTGGTTAGCCAAAACCTCTATGCACTGCTTGCCAAGCTCTCTGTCTGAGACCTGATTTTCAGAACATTTGGAGGAAACTTCTAGCTGTCACCCATTCTGTAATCCTAACACATCTTTCCTTCAGCTCTTGGCAGCTGGGCACTTTTCAGACTCAGTTTACCATCATTCCTGTCAACAACATCTGAGAGAACTCTGCCAGATCAGAGTAGGTCCACCAATGGTTTCATTTTTCAAGGAAAGGAAGGGATCAAACAAATGATCTCCCCTTCTTGGTTAATAATTAGTATCCCACATAGCCACCTTAGACAGCTCAAATTCTTATTCACCACTTGGTGTTTGGATGTAGGTACGCCAACCCCACGGATACAATTGTTATGCTTTTCTTCTTGCTTTTCTTCAGATGATGTACTTGGGCTCAGGCCTTTGCTGTGTTGGCGCCCTGGCAGGGCTGTCTAGTCAGAACACCTCACGACTTGGCAATGCTCTAGGCATGATTGGGGTTGCCGGCGGCTTAGCAGCTACACTGGGTGCTGTGAAACCATCACCAGAACTATTAGCCCAGATGTCTACAGCCATGGCCATGGGTGGCACGATGGGTAAGTCCAGTTCATTTGAGACAGATTTAAATGGGCTTTCAGTCGTTATATATTTGTGTATAAAAGGTAGCCTGGGCTTTTGTTCCTTAGCACAGGTTATGATGCATGAAGGAACTGGGTAAAGGACCTCTTTATTGACTCAGCCTGTGGAATCTCTGAATTCAAATATAACTGAACCTACAGAGAAGTCACTTCCTTACCGCTGCAACAGCATAGAAACTGGCCCTAGCTAACTATCTGGGGTGACGGCCAGAGGGCGGTGCTGCCGTTTGTGGCCGTTTGTGGCCGTTCGTGGCTGTGTGGGGCTGGGCTGGCTAGGTTGGTGGGGGGGATTTCTAATTTTGTACTGGGGCGGAAAGGGGGAGTTTTTTTTGATTGTTTTAAAGTTTTTATTGTATTTTAATCTGTTTTATGGAGTCGTCCCTGGCCATGCCGACGCTTGAGTTTCCTGGGGAGCGCGTGGGCGCCGCCATTGGGGTGGTCATGGGCAATGGGCGTCACAGCGGTGGGGGCTTAACGTGTCTGCGTAGAAGAAGGAGGGACAGTTGGCTGACACCTGTCCCTCCTTCTGGTTCTGCCCCCAGCTGGAGGGTGCCAGGTAGTCTTGTCAACCGCCCCTTCATGCCACTCGTCCACACTCCCCTCCCCTCTTCTCTGGGGGCATGCATCCCCCCCTTCCCTCTGCTGCCCGCCTTTGGAGAGCTGCATGACTGGAAGAAGTGCTTGGGAGGCCCTGCGAGAGCTTGCCCCGTCTTCAGGTGGGCGGCTGGTCTGCAGCAAGTTCCATGGCAGGAGGAGGTTGTGTAAGCAAGCAGCAGGCCCTCCTTGCTGGGATTGGGAATGGTTTGTCGCTCACCTTACTGCATAAGGCAAGGCCCTGCTGTGCTTTATGGGTTGCGCTGTCCTCTTGTTAGTGCACTGTGAAGACACATCCAGCAGTGTTCCATGGATGAACATGGCAAGGATGGAGAGGGCAAGCTTTCAAGTATGTGTCTTTGCCATTCCTTCTCGATTTTCAGGGTAACCCAGAGCAGGGCTTGAAAAATGACTGTTAGATGTCCTACTGAGCTCTTCCATCTATTTTGGTGGCATCTTTCCTTTGACAGAATCCGGAGCAGGGATGTAGAGCTTTTCGACCCGGGAGCCCAACCTAGCCATCCGAGAGTCCCAAAATCAATTACTGGAAGTAAGAATGTAGCCTCAAATATATTGGTATTTTGGCCCTATTCCTTTTGACTTTGGGTCCACCCAGCACTGGAATGTGGTCCCTGCAATTCCAAAATGCAATTCTGCCCTTAGGCTAAAAGAAATTCTGCACCCTTGGTCCAGAGACACAATGCATCTTGGTATCAAATTCTATGACTAAAGTTTACACAAGTCCATATTTCCCAGAAGGACTCATGGCTTGAGCCTTTCCCATTTTCTCAACACTCTTTAGATGCCATTGTCTTCAAAGTTCTTGTTGTGATATTTGTTTTGGAGGAGACTTAAAAGGTTACAATTTCCTATGGGTTCCTTTTGTACTTGCACAAAAAGGAGAAATAATTTAAGAAAGTAAACAGTCTTTTCTTACTTAACTGGATGTTTATACTTTTGAGTGGCTATGAAATATAATATTGCATGTTTTAATCTTGGATCTAAATCCCCTCCTTTTGCAGGTCTCACCATTGCGAAACGGATTGAAATCTCTGACCTTCCACAGCTTGTTGCTGCATTTCACAGTCTGGTTGGTTTGGCAGCAGTTCTGACATGCATTGCTGAGTACATGATTGAATATCCACACCTTGATGTTCACCCATCTGCTAATGTTCTCAAAACTGTGGCCTACTTGGGCACCTATATTGGGGGAGTGACATTCAGTGGCTCTTTAGTAGCCTATGGAAAACTGCAAGGTATGGTTCTTTATATTTAAACACACTATGTTATGGGGTACAGACTTCTGCATGGATTGTCAAAGGCTCTTAAACAATTAGGAACTCTGTTCACAATGCATTTCCATAAGGATTGGTGCCAGCCGTTAAAAAAAAAATCCTTGAAACACTTACGGCTTTGCCTGAAGACTGCCTAAGCTTGTGAACAACTGGTTGTGACATGGCAAATTAAGGACAGAGCGGATGAAATGCTCTGCTGCTACAAATGGCATTACATGGACTGTGCAGGCACAGTAATCACTTGTCCCGTTGGGGTCTCCAGAGGGGTGGCCACGAACACTGATGTGTCCACTGACAATTATCTCAGTTTCTTGTGGGCTCTGCACCTCTCCTGATTTTTATTTCTTTCTTGACATTTAGTTTGGCTACCAGGTTTTTAACCTGGAAGATGGCATGTTGCAAAGTGAACTGCTGCCTATAAGTACCATCTTTATTTCACTTCAAAAGATTAGTATTGTGGCTTGGAGCTCAGTTACCACCTCTGCCTTGTCCTGAAGTTCTTGGGTCCTTATGTTCCTTTCCTTTATTCTCACCAGCTGCCCTTCTGAGAGGAATGTTTTGTAACTGGGTAACCATTTTCTATAATGCCCAAAATGATTCAGAGGTGCCCACCAACACCATAAGGTTTGGGATCCTTGCCATATGGTGTAGTGGGCAGAGTGTTAGTCTAGGAAAACTGGGTTCAAAGCCCTCAAAAATCATGAAGATAGCTGAGTGATACTGATCCAATTGTTATCTCAGCTTAAATTGTCAGGATTAAATTGTGACACAAGTTAGTCTTCTTCTGTATATCCATCCTTCTAGGCTAATAGTATCAGTTTTGCCTGCCCAGAAGTAGATTCCGTCTGTGGTTAACAAATCCTGCACTTCCTTTGCAGTTATCCGATCATCTTATAGGATGACTTGATGGGTATGGATTCTTTATGGAGCAAAGCTATTCCTGACAAATTTCCCTGTATTTTATAAGAAGGGTCTTGGAGACACATTGAATTTTACATGGCTGCAATACCACATATTGCACAAAAGGCATATAATTTAGCAAGTTAAACATGGGACCAATTATGACTGCTCTCATCCCTTCCCCGTGCTTCAAGATACCTGCCTCCTTATGTTCCGGAGAGAGAATGAGAGAGAGAGAGACGGGGAGAGCATGTGTTGACCCACCCATCTGTTTATCCATCACCCTATTTGTTTAATCAAAACCACTTTTAAACCAGTTGCAAAACTGCTCCGGGGGATAGGAAGCTTCTTGCTTGACATTATAAGCACCCGCTGATTCATTCTGTCCACAGCCAATTTTTGCTACAAGCATTAAGCCCTTGTTTCACCTTTACATTTGTCAGCACTTCTTTCAGTCACATTCCTCCAACCCTACTACTGAGCACAACTCCAACAACAACATAAATTCTCCTAGTAACCATCGAGAACCACTTTTCTTCATTACAAATGTCTCCTTTAGGCTCTTACGTACTGGAAAACCAATGGCATTCTTTCCCCGTCCCTTTCTCAGCCAACTCATTTCAACATTTCTCCACCTCGTGTTGTCTAATAGCTTTGGCTTCTCCTTTGAATTTTCCCAAATTTGCCCATCCCCTCCTTAAAATGCAGTGACCAAATTGTAGCTGGAGGCAAGGCCTCCCAGATTTATAGCAACAAGGGATTGACACTTCTTGTGCCTTTGGATGCGGAGGCTCCCTGCCAAAGCACCCCACAAGGACAGTTTTGTGTGTTTCTTTTATGCTGTCCATGTTCATCAGCTTGCAACACAGTCCAAGTCCTGGATTTTATTCATTTCTTTTTCACTTCTAAATACCAAGGGGTGAGGGGCTGAAGCAAGGCTAAGTATGAAATTAGTTCCATCTATCAATCCAAGAGGAAAACAGAGGGAAGTCTGTATAATAGCCTGGTTTCTCATAGCAAGGATCAGTCCTCCCCTGTCCCACTGTTATGTGAAGGCAAGACTGGCACATCATACCAAAGGTGGGCAAGACGTGCTGGCCTCGGGGCCACATGCAGCCCTTGGGGACTTCTCAGCAGCCTGCAATGGGTGTCCACACTCCCAGTTTCCCTTCTGCAAGCTGGCTGCCTGGCTCTGGAGTGGGATGACTGGTTTCCGGGTGCCTTTTGCACTCCCCACTCCTTCCATGCTACCCCAGCTCATGACTACTTTTTCTCAGCCCCAGTCAGCTGGGTGTTGGGGAAAGAGGATTGATGGGGAGGAATGAACCTTCCTGTGTGCCTCCTTCCCCACACAATTGTGCACTGCCCCACCTGTTGCCCAGGTGTGCAAGAGCTTGCAGCATTTCAGATATTGTGATTACCACAATGGGAACATGCTGCAGGGAGTGTGAGGTTTCTGTCCTCTGCTTACTTGTTTTCTCCTCTTGCATGGCCAATCTGGGAAGGTTTTGTTTCTAGTTTTAGCTAGCTGAAATGTGTTGTGCATTTAGTGTGACCCTCTTTAACTAACACTAACCATGGCTACTTTGAAACCCTAGTTACTGAAGCTGGCTTAGATAAACTAATCATAATAGTGTTAATTTGAGTTCCTGATTCAGATGACACAGGAAGCTGTAGGTAACTGAATGGAGGAAAGAATGCTTCCAAACTCTCTCCCCCATGTGCAGAAGGAGGAGCCCAAGAGCCTGCAGTTCATTGAAGCTTGTTTTTGCAACAAACCACGGTTTGTACTGACATCCAAATCCAGCCGCTGTGGTAGGGCCAACAATTCAATTTCAGAGACAGTCTTGGGGAGTAGCTTTTCAGTGCTTGGTGGGAGCCAGGCCACATGCCTCCAATACCAACAAAACCCTTGGGAGAGGTGATTTAATTTTTTTGGAATGAGGAAAGAAAGAGGCAAAAGCAGGAAACTGCCAAACAACTGGTCTTTGAGGGGAAATGGGTGGGGCCAGCAGAAGGAAGGACCACAGAGGGCTAGATGGAGACCCTGGGGCAGCTGGATTTGCTCTGGAGGCCTCAGGTCCTCCACTGCTGTTGTAGTTCCTCATCCCCTGGCTATGTCTGCATGTTTTTACTTCTCAATGACATGTCTGGCACTGCTTTAAATGAAGGGTTTCTTCTTTAGGTGATAATCAGGTGATCTGATTATCTCATAGCAAAATATCTGCAGATCAGAATGCATAGCTTGGCAGCCACAGCCTTAAAAAAAGGCTCCAGACTGGCTTTCTGAATATGTGCCTTGGTGTTTGCGCATATGCATTTGCCTGCATGTTCTTTAAGGGACAAAATGCATCTATTCCACCAAATTACAGTTTTAGTTTTTAAGGGAGCAAACTGAGGAACAGCATGTTTAACAACTAATTCTAACAAAAACATGTAACAAGGCATCTCCCAAAGACCGAAAATAAGAATGAGGAATTGCCAGCAAATGGAGACTGCCCATAGTTAATGAGGACAGTCTGAATTTGTATTAACATGCTGGTATCTAGGAAGCTCCAGCTATGTTGAAGTTTGTAAATAAACAAATGATTCAACACAGGACATGGGAGGAGTGTCTTTGGCAAAGGGAAAGGGCTTGGATTGCCAGCTGTTGAATCAGAGAATGGGCATATAGGAAGCTGGCATGGAAAGAAGCCAGACCTTGGTCCAGCTAGTCCAGTATTGCCATAGATGCTGGCTGGCAGCTGCTCTCCGGGGTTTTAGGTGGGGGTTTTTCCAACCCTACCTGGAAATTGCTAACTGAAATTTTCTTGGCTTGTTTATTTAGCATTTCAGTTATCCACACAGCAAAACATAAACTGTTTATTGTTGATGCTTCAGGTATATTAAACTCCGCTCCACTCCTTCTGCCTGGTCGGCATTACTTGAACGCTGGATTGTTGGCAGCTTCAGCAGGGGGCATGATTCCTTTCATGTTTGACCCCAGCTATACCACTGGCATGGCCTGTCTTCTCGGGGTTTCAGGACTTTCATCCATCATGGTATGTAATAGAGATGGAATCTTTGGACTTAGAAAACGAATCCCCAGAGCTCTGGATGGGCAGATCTGGAACCAGAGCTAAGAGCAGAACCAGAACGAACAAAAGAACCGGTGTGGTATAGTAATTAAGAGCATGGGACTGGGACTTGGGCGATCCGGGTTCCAGTCCCAACTCAGCCATGGAGCCAGGTGGGTGACTTTGGGCCAGTCACAGACTCTCAGCCTAATCCACTTCATCAGGTGGTTCTTGTGTGGATAAAATGCAGAGGAAGAGGACTGCATAAGCTGCTCTGGGTTCCTTGCAAGAGGTAAAACGGGCAGGATATAAATGCAATGTCATTATCGTCATTACACAAAGTCTTGGGCCTAACCAGACCAAACCACGCAGAAGGTCAGTGAGTGGGATCAGTCACAGAAGACGTTTGGTATTTCAGGTCACCCTGAAATTGCCTGACTTTTCAGACCGCAGTAACATTTATCTTTCCAGAACGTGGTTGGGCTGGTTGGTGGAGTGCACTCTTGGAATGTCAGCCACTATTGGCATGAAAAGCCACCTTGTCAGTCTGCCAGACCAAAAGGATGGGTATAAATTTAGTAAATAAATAAATAGAAACACAGTCTGTGCTGCTGAGCCCAAACAAGATAATTTGGGATATACAATTGCGGCTGCCTTGGTGTCAGACCCTGAAAGAAAGAAAAGGCCCCAGTTGGGTTGCTTGTGTGTGCGGGGCCTAGTAACTCATACTGCTTTACCTATTGTATAAGAAACACAGAAAAGGTAGTCCTACCTACTTGGAATTTCGAACAGTGTAGCACAAAAACATCTCCTAGGAACATTGTCATCTGCTGAACAATGGCAAGAACAGCTGTGGGTGGAGTGGGTAGAACGGGCGCCGTTCCAAGGACTCTGCAGAACTCACTTCAGAATATGTGTGCAACTTTATGGAAATTCCTTAACGAAGCGAGTGGGCCCTTCACAAGATCCCACAAACCATGTAAGCAACCCCTTTCCAACCTCTTTCTCATAGTGGGCAGCACAGTAAAATAAGCTACTGGTTTTGTCTGTCAGATGTCCGCATGTTAGAATCCAGAGAGGGAGAAAGTGAGAGCTTGTCCTTTGAAAGGGTGTCGGGAGCACCTGGTGCAACACCAAGTCTCCAAGATGCCCAAGATGAAATTGATTCTTGGCATAAATAAGACTTATTTGTACTCAGAAACATTGGGTGTCGCCTATTGAAAGTTCCTGCTGCACCATTATTAATACTTAAAAAATAATTTTCTAATTTTCTAGGCTAGGTTCTACACAGGACACCCAAGTAACCCAGTATGAGCAGGTATGGCAGACCACAGGGCCTGCCTGGGTCAGATCAAGGGGGAAGTGCCAGAAGGCAGGTGGCTTGAATCAAGAACTGGTCCCACAATTATAAAGAACCCAAGTGCTTTATATTTCCAGTTTGTGTGCATCTCGTAATTGTGAATGTGCACAGAACAGAAGGCCCTTCTCAGTAGCTGCTTCTGGGGTCAATCCATGTCGCTTTCCTTCCACCAACAAGCAAAGGCTTCTTCGATTTAGGCAGTCCTTTGGCCTATACATGGGTCTGTTGCTGATGAATAGGATTTTAATTGGTTGGTGCTATGTATTTCTTTTATTGCGGTGTTTGTTACTGATTTGCTTTCATGGTACATTTTAATTTAGATATTTTGTTTTTAATCCAGAATGTATTTTTGGCTGTTTAATAAATAAAGTACTTGTATATCTGCTTGTTCAAAGCAGCTCAAAGAGGCATACGCTGGGGCTGGATCCTTGTATGGACCGAATCCTATCCTTGGCACATCCATTTAAAATGAATTAAGAGAGCTAGGAAAGTTAAGAGGGCTGTAAAAGCTTCCAATAAAGCTGCTCCCAAGATGGGTTGACTCATATTAGGGTTGCTACTTATATGTTGCTAAAAAAGAGAAATTGCAGGATCCCCCTCCCCCCCCCAAAAAAAGACAAGAAAGGACATCAATTTATGTAACATTTGCACATGCACACAAAATTTAAAATATTAGAATAACTTATTTAAATCAGCATATTTTAAATAGAAACATGTTGTATCTCCCCATAGACTGTGACCCAAGAACCAGTGCATCTGCTTGCTAGGCTGTCCAGGTGATGCACTGTTGATGGTCAACTTCCAGGCCTCCCCTTTCTCTCTGTGTCAATTGGTTTGAACTATTGCATCGGCAGGTTCACCATACGGAGCTACGGTCTCCACACTACCCTTACTGGTCCTTCTGTCTATTAACATGAACTTGGTTTCTAGTCTGCTTGTGCACAGCCTGAGAAATGTACTGATATTACTTGAAGTCGAGACTGTCTCTCTGCACTCCTTTTTCCATGTCTGTACTTAATGGCAGGGCTGGGCCCAGACATTTTGTGAGCTGAGGCAGAAATTAAAATGGTGCCAACTTCCGTTCCAATGCAGAAGCCATCACTGTTAATGGGACAGTGTTGTCCACCACACCGAAGGAAAGCAAGCTAGCTTAGGAGGTGCGGGATGAGCTGCGTAGCAGCCGCAGCTGGGTCCTCCAGGACCTCACTGCTGCCCACCCTCCAGCATCTGTCACCTGGGGTAGCTGCATCTCTCTGCCTCATGGTAGGGCTAGCCTGTGCTTCTGAATTAATGAAAGTCTTCACAATAGCGATGTTATTTAGTTGAACATACAGTTGATTTTCCTTTCCTTCTGCGGCACATACAAATGGCAGGGAGTAACCCTGACAGCAGCTATCGGCGGAGCAGATATGCCTGTAGTGATCACCGTGCTCAACAGTTACTCTGGATGGGCACTGTGTGCAGAAGGGTTTCTTCTTGACAACAATCTGATGACCATTGTTGGAGCTTTGATTGGTTCTTCTGGAGCTATCCTATCTTACATCATGTGTGTGGTAAGTGAAGCCTCTGTGCATTCTGGCTTATAAGCTTTCAATCTTTTCGTTAAGCAAGGGCTATTATTTCTTCCATGGATCATATTTAATGACTCAGAAGTAGCCAGGTTGCAGGGAGATGAGGAGACACACCTGGTAGAACAGCTTTCCCTAAACTAGGTCCCTTCAGGTGTTTTGGACAACCTGTATTGGCCCAAGGAAGAAACAATAACCCTAGTTTAATGAACAAAATGTTGTCTGTTTATGGATGATGGGAGCTGCAATCCAAAACATTGGGCAGGGGAGACCCAGGTTGGGTAAGGCTACACTGCAAAGTCAATGTGTTCTAAGGAAAGAGTACTGGATATTTATGGTGTATTTTTTGTGGCTTGTGTACTTTTGGGTTGTTGTGTTTGTGTGTCATGGGCCAGGGTTCCTCCCTTCACACGTTCAAAGCCACAGACCTTTCTTGCAAAAATGTTCTTTATTGACCAAAGCTTCTCCATACTACAAATATCCAGACTGAATCTCTGAGCATGCACAGAGCAGTCCGTTGAACTCAGTCTAGTATTCACCTCCAAGAACTTTCCTTATGAGCATGCCTGATCCCCATCCTTTCAGGAGGGGCCTTCTGAAAACAAGCTTGCCTCTTCTCTGTGCCCTGGTCCTCTAGTTCGGCCACATCACAGGATTGAGAGCCATACCTGCCCCGTCTATCCCTGAGAAAGTCCCCTGTTCCAAGTTCCTTCCCACGAACTGTACAGCTTGGTTATTTCCAGGGGCTGCCTGCACTCCTGGGGAGTCTGGCTTTGAGATGAGTGTCTCCACTTCTCTCATCTCAGTGTCTGGAACTGGCCCACATTCCTGCTCTTCCTCTTCCTCCTCTGAAGTCCATCCAGCAGGCCTTGAGAATGTGCGCCAAGAGCAGCTATCTTTCCCACCCGCAACAGTGTGCACACGCATCTGTGTGCGCCATATCTTTCTTGTAAATCAGTACTGGTTCTCCCAAAGGACATACCTATGAGCCTGGTTCCCAGCTACCTGAAAAATCTCAAATGTCTATCTCCTTTGCGGGTTCTGTTGCATCTGGCAAACTGTTCCTCCCCTGCCATCACACACATATGCCCACATCTCTCTCCTTCCCAGCTTTCGGGAGGGTTGAATGACAAGCGGCCTGTGGGACAGATGCAGCGCTTTGGACTTTCCTACACTTTCAGCCCTGCTGCCAACAGCACCGTTGCCAAGATGAAAAAATCTGGTGGCACGAGAGAACTGGGAGGAGAAAGACCCTCCTTTTAAAAGCAGAAAATTGTGGTGTTGCAAAGGCAGTAAAGTGGCACTATTTTAGAGCCAGTCCCCGAGCAGGCACAGTTCCTGCTGAGGGCAATGGAGCCTCATAACCCCTGAAAGGGGCCAATCCTTGCTGTAGCATGTCAACCATCTATCAGTTGTGTTACAGGAAGAACTTTAGCTATGAGCTATGCAGGCTGTGTGGAGATGTGAAGTTGAAAATGGTTTGTTTTCTTTATCCATGTGTTAAGATTGCACACGCAAAGCAGAATTAAGAATTAGACCCACAGGAGGATTGTAAATTGGTTTGAATTTACTGTGGCCAGGCATTACATCTGCATGGAGTAACAGGGTTAAAGTTGTTCTCTTGGCTCACTAGTAAGCCGTTGACCTCTTGTTAATAGATGTTTTGTGGTTGGCTAGGCCATGAATCGATCGTTGCCAAATGTCATTTTGGGTGGATATGGTACAACCTCTACAGCTGGAGGAAAGCCCATGGAAATAGTTGGGACACACACTGAAATTGGGATTGATCAAACAGTTGAACTGATAAAAGAAGCTAACTCCATTATCATTACACCTGGTAAGAGCTGCATCACAATTTATTAAAATGTTTAAGAATCAAGCATATGGCCTAAGAAAACATTATTGACCATGTTATTCTATTCTATATTGTGTTATTCAGCATGATATGTATTACAGTTCACATAATGTCTTCGAATGAACAAATGTTTCACTCTGTGGAGTTCAAAGTAATTCTGTAGTTATTAAAGCATATGCCTTTAGGGAGCAATCCTATGGCCTTGAAATATTATCTGATGGGCCATAGACTACCGGAGTTATTAAAGAACTGCTCCAGCCACCTACACACTTGGAAAATCAACCTCAGAGAGGCTGAAAGGGAATATTCCAATGGGTGGGCAGTGGACAAGAGCAGAGAGTCCAAGACATGGCATATCCTGAGTCTGGTAGCCTCTTTTTTCCCTCTTCAAACCACTACTCTGGATGGTATAAAAAGATGGAGGCTCATCTAGCAAAATATGCAGGGTAGGATGACAGGGAGCTGGTGCTCACCTTCTCAGGTCCTCTTGTCCTACACTGGATAATTGATAGGACTGAGTCCTTAGTCATATTGGATAAAGAGAATCTGGAAGAAGGTTCCTGAGTAGTTTGCAGCCCATTGATCTCCATGGGTTTTATCAATACACATTTCAGAGAGAAGGCTTGGCTACTCTGGGGTGCTTCAGCTGACGTCAGAGAAGATGGTTGTACATGTTTATGGGGAAAGCTGAGGATCAAATTGCATGAGCATGCTGTGATAAATATTTTGACCTGGAATACGCTACATATTTTCTGTGTGCCTCAGAACTGTTCAGAATATTATACACAGAGAGAGCAGGGGATTATATTTATTAAATGTATATGCTGCCCCATAGTCCAAAGGGCTCTCTGGGCAGTTTACAGCAACAGCAAGAACTTAGTGGTCTGGTAGGGATATATGGAGTTTATATGAAGCTTGAAGGACCTCCATATGTAAGTGTATATATATATACACACACACACACACACACACACACACACACTTACATGAAAGGGTATGTAAGTACAAGGGGTCTTCAAAAAGTTTCCGTGCTTTTATAGTTTATAAATATATTTTATATATTTTTTGCTGGCAGCATTAAAAAGTTGGTATGATGCTGGAAAAATGCATCGCAAAGGAAGGTGACTATGTAGAAAAGTGATGTAATTTGTTTTTGAAATTCTTAATAAATAGAGTTTTAAATAGTATGGAAACCTTTTGAAGAACCCTTGTATATATATATATATATACTGATATGAAGCATGAAGGACCTCCATTGAAGATCATAGTGGTCTGGCAGGGATATATAGAATTTATATGATGTTTTCCACAGGAAACTTCATTTCATATAGCAGAAGAAGGGAAGGAGATAGGGAGAGAGTTGGGAAACTGCAGGGAAGTTGCAGGGTTCTCTTACTGCCAGGTGTAGATGCTTCTGAAGCAAACCAGAGCTGAGTTTCAGGTCTTTCACTGATGCAGGAAGGAGGGAGGAAAGAAACAGGACGTGGATTTGGAAAAACTTTGCTCTACCAAGTCCAAAATCAGCATGCCCTTTGGCTCCTGTTTGTCCGTGCTGATGTGGGCAGAACCTGAAGGGTATGAATGATGACTGGAAAATCTGTAAATAGCAGCTGTGGGACAGCTGACTTAATTCTCTTACTTCTCTGCACATTCTGTTTAGCATCCTGCAGAGCTCGTTAAATTTAAATAAACTCAGAAATTTTCAGTGGTAGTTCACCCCTAGTTATTATAAGGCTGGGGACACAGACCTGAACAAAAGCAAAACAGCTCCTAAGCATTTGATGCTATTTCTCAATGTGTTGTCAATTTCTCAGTTACCTTAAGTGAGTGCAAGATACGTCATGGGGCTTCCTCCCCTCTCCTGATTCTTTTTTCTGCGAAACCAGAACAGCACATTATATTGGATGAGACTGAGTCCATAGCCAAAAAGGAAAGAAACAAAAAATCTACTCATGGCAGAGGCAGGGGAAATGTTCCTTAAGGTGCTGGGTGCAAAGAATTGTTTCGTAAGAGTGTCCGATTAAACCAGCTGGTCTTGGCAAAACAGCTTCAGCCTGAATACTTTTGCAGGCCCTCTTTTTAAATTGGCCATGAGGGGCCAATGTATCCTTTGCGTTATCTAGTCCTCTGACTTGGGCAGTTTATTGTTTTACTTGAAAAGGAGGGACAACACGGGCAGAGACATTGGTATGTTGAAGTTCATTATCTCCTCCAAATTTATGCTTTGGGGGCAGGTGGGCCTCGGGGCAGCAAATTTAATTTTTCAGGGATACTTTTTCAGGCATGAATGGAAAATTAATGTTGCATACTTACAGTGCTCGAATAGCTCCTCTTGGGTATGATATCTAAATTCCTCTCCTTTAGGGATTGGAGAAGCATATGCAATGAGACCCTGGAAAGGAGCTTAATCTGGAACTTAAGAGCGATTTCTCTCTGGTTCTTCCCTACCAGCACTGGGTGTTCTTAGCAATGGCTTGTATTGGTTCTTTATGCTTTTTTATCTGCACCCAAATGTCTATCTTCATTCCCTTATTGTGGCTCACAGTCTATAGTGGCAATTATTATACACTCTGGTAAACTTTTTGCTTGTCTGTTGGCAACTCACTTTAATGCGATCGGTGACAATCCATTTCCATGTGACCATATGGAGTGACTTCCCTCTCCAGGTGTGTTGGATTACAGCTCCTGGAATCCTCCAGGATCAGAGCTTTACAGAGTATGGTTCTTGGCCGATTTTCATCATGCTGCTTGGTCATCATTTTTGGCCCCATTCAGAGTGCTGATATTAATCTTTAAAGTCCCACCTGGCTTTGGGCCAGGTTACCTGAAAGAGCATCTAGCAGATACCTTCCTGGATCCTATCATGGCTCCTTATCTGTGAATCCTCCATAAGATGAGGTGAACTAGACAGATGGCTACAAGAAAGGGGACCTTCTAGGAGGGACGTTGTGTTCTCGTTCTGGAATGTCCTTCCCAGAAGGCTTGCCTGGCACTTACATCATGGTCTTTTGGGCACCAGGTTGAGAACTTTTTCTTTCCTCAGGCTTAAAAAAAACCCCTTTAGCCTTTCAGTTTTAAACTGCGTCAATGCTTTGCATGCTGTGGACAACTGTATTTGGTTTTATCTCTGGCTGTTATCATTTGGTTTAGATTTACATTATACTTACTATAAATGCGTATTTTGTGATTTTAACCTCTACTTGTGAACCACCTGAAGAGTTTTTGCTATTGGGCAGTATGGAAATGTCATGATGGAACTAAACTAAAGTAGCTTTGCCCAAAGACAATCCAAACTTAAAGTTACTAAAGGGGAGAGTATATATTTAATTCTTCCACCATACAGCACAACTGCACAGCATGTTTCAGCCTATCATTGCTGGAGCACCTCCACTTTGAGAAACGGTTATGACGTCTGGATTAAAATTTATACTGGGTGAGAAATGGTTACAACCACTGCCTATTGCAGAGGACAAACAGGAAGAGGAAGGTAAGGGGAAAGGAGAAAGGAACCAGTCAGTTGACAGGACAGTAAGGGGAATGAGGAGCCAGGTAGCTGCTGATGGGATGCATGTACTGTACCGGAAGTGTGTGGAGAGGCCCTGCCATCCCACAAGCATGGGCTCCAGCACTGATGTTGTCTTGCATTGTTGCAGGTTGGGGTCTCTGTGCAGCCAAGGCTCAGTATCCCATTGCAGACATGGCGAAAATGCTTAATGAACGAGGAAAGAAAGTCAGGCAAGTGCAACCAAACAGGCCGATGGAAACAGACTGCAGCATGCTGGGAAAGGCAGCTCTAGTCCCAGGAGACCGGCTGTGCTTCTGGTCCTCACAGCCACTTACTGGGAAGGAACTGTGGCCCTTCCTCATCCCTGTTCTGGAGTGAGAGTTTTCTCGAAACAGACAAAAATATTGCTTAACCAGTTGGTTCTACCTAATCTCAGCACGTATGAGTACATAATGAGTTGGATCCAAGAGCTCCCTCCCCCACCAATGGAAAGTCCCTTCACCCAATTTTTGAGGATCCCTACCCTCTCTCTCCCCTGCCTCTCTCTCTCACACACACAGAGGGAGAGGGAGAGAGAGCTCCCCTCCCCATTCAACAGAATTTCCTGACTCCATGTGGCATTTGCAGGTAGCTGAGAAGGCTGCTGTGGAAAGGAACTAATAGGAAATTGTATTTGTGCCCTGTTAATTGATCCCACTTAAATTTAGACCCAGCTTAAGGTCTTCATCCTTAAGTTTTGAGAATTGAGTGGTATTTGAGTGCATCTTTGGTATATATTTCCTGGCACATAGAAACATGGAAAGCTACTGAGTCAAACTATTGGTCCATCTAGCCTTGTATTTTCAACACTGAATGGCAGCAACAGCCTTCCAGCCCTCCCTGGAAAAGCTGGGGGTTGAACCCGGGACACGTAGTTACCACCTTTTATATCAGTACAAGCTCTGCTATCCAAACAGCTGCAACACAGGCAAAACTCAGCAAATGAAAGCTCTCCTGCTCCCTAAAGGTATGTGCTGGGGAAAGATGCACCCAAGAATTCCTGCATGCCATGCAGCTATTAAAGCTATGGCGCCTCTGCCCCTTAAAACAGCGACTTGCCTTGCAGATTTTCATCTGTGCATTGTATTTTGTTCTGCGCCCAAACTCCTGGCAGAACAAAGAGTATCATGCTCCTTTTGTTTCGCAGGCCACCAAGAATCTGGATTTTTCTTTCTCTTGTAACATGGCCATTCCCTGCTGTCTTGTGATGACAATATTTATTGCAAGTTGCGACAAACATTAAGGGAGGTTGGTTTGAAGAATGCTGTGATACTCAGGGGGCCTCCTTAAGATTTCACTTGGGAGGTGGCCTTCTGTATTATTTTAGCCACATTCTTCCTCCTTCGGGGGAATGGGGGAGGTTCCACCTCAGAGCATCAGTAGCCGAGGATGTATCTGCGAGAGCCAATTAATACAATGATCTAGGACCAAACTAGTTATGATGATCATTTTTTCATAAGTAAATAGCAGCTGGAAGGGAGGTAGTCTAGACTGACACCACAGGGAAGGGGTTCGGGTTTTTGTCCCCACTGCGGTTGCGATCAGGATCCACCCACCTAACTCGCAGGGTTGTTAATAAGGGAACAACTCCTGCCACCTGTTCCAAGTTGCAAATGATGCAGGCCCATTTAAATGCCCCTCGTGATCGCAGGCTGCCCTTGCCGCACGCATGCACACAGAGTTATTGCAACTGGTTCAGTCAGGATGGAGAGGCATGTTAGAACTGGCCTGCGTCCACGTGCGAAGCATTGCTGACATTTATCAGTTCTCTTTTATTAGTTCAGCATGTCTTAGATGCAAAACAGCCATTCTTTTCTCTCTCGGTTTCCAGGTTTGGTATCCATCCAGTTGCAGGCCGCATGCCAGGGCAGCTGAATGTTCTGTTGGCAGAAGCCGGTGTGCCATATGACATTGTGCTGGAAATGGACGAGATAAATGAAGATTTCCCAGGTAAAGAATGAGGGAGGTGGAAAACACACACCCTTGGCTATTCCTTTGGTCAGACCATCCTGCAAATGTTAGTGTTGTTGTCTGCTTTTGCAGCCAGGGCAGAGAATATGAATTTATCTCAACTGGTATTTTGGAACTGAATCGGTTTGATCCAGTTATGGTTTAATGTAAGACCCATCTGTTTCAATGGGTCTAGGGTTAGCACTGAGTACAACTAATGGTGCTTCAAGGTGCAGACTTAAGAGCTGATAAGAGCAAAGTTTCATGTAGCTCAAAGGAAATGCAACTTGTAAATCTGATATTAAATTAGTGAACAACTCGACAGTTGCTCTGGAGGGCACAACAGCAGATGAACTGTGCTCCCCTTTGCCGAGGCTCTGAATGGCTCCGAGGTCCCACGCCACTTGCAGGAGTGCCCTGGAATTGCCCCACTCTTACCTTTGCATTCCGCTTGTTCGTATCTTCACCCTCCGCCCTCCACGCCAGTGCTGCTTCTTCCCGGTTCTCTGCATGTCAGGCAGGCCAGCAGAAATGATGAGGAAGAAGTGGAGAGTTGTAGCAGAGAATGACAATGGTGGCAAGAAGGTTGATTCACTGAGGGTGCCTTGCCCAGAGACTTTCAGAAACCTCAACTGGCACTGCTGGGAAAGTCAGCAGTGGCACGGGAGCAAACAACATCTGACAAAATTGTTCATGTTTACAAGCATTTCCAGCGCAGCATGAGACTGCAATAGGGATGAACAACTCTGTCAGCTCCAGTTTCGAGTTCTTTCAGTATTAAATGTGTCTCATCCTGAGTACTGAACATTTTTTAAGTTTTTGTGAAAATTCATAAGCATATTCATGCACATTTATTACATACATGCATTTTTGCCCATCAGAGACAATTTTGGCAAGGATTTCTGGAATATAATGCGTTTTGCTATGCATTGTCAGTTGAAAAATTCCATAGTTCACATTTCATAGTTGAAAAATTCATAGTTCACATTTTGAAGGATCACTGACTTTTGGTTTGCAGAGTGGTTCTGAAGTAAAAATTAGCTAAATTCACATGAAAACGCAAACTGAAATAGTTTTTCCTTAGTTCCTAGACGGTACCGGTAGCTCCTAAGGCCCATTGTCAATGTATTGAATCTGGCATTACTGAAAGATTATGGACAAGTGATTCCACTTAGCTTCTCTAAGGAAAGTCCATTCCAGCAGTTCTGGACTGCTGCCATCAGCTCAGAACTGCAATCTGCCCTAGCCTGCATGGCTCTGCTGCGCTGCCTTCATCCCCCCATCCTCCTCTGCTTGCTCCTAGTAGTTTCATGCAAGCTACCCAGGTAACTGATCCCGTTTATGCCTGTTTGACCACAGTTGTCTTCTTCCACAAGGAGCAGACCATCTGGACCAGTTGCACACCTGGCACTATGCATTCCAGATGTGCTACTGCTGGTACATACTTTTTCGGTGGCTTTGGGCCACATCCTAAACCTCATAATTAAAGATCTGTATGACTCTGGAAAGCAGTTTTGCTCTGTAGCATACTTTCTCGGCTAGCTTCAAAGGTGGTCTGCTTTCCCAGACTTTTTATCAGAGGGCAAGTACTTTGATGTCTCTTTGGGAGGTCAGGTTTTATAGCTGAATGATAAAAGGATGATGTTGCTGGACCAGAATTAAATGATCAATCTTATATCACATCTATGAATCAGCAGCTTACAGTTGTCAGACTGATATTCCAGTATGAAATCTGCCTAAGCAATGAGACAAGCAACATTTCTGGTGTGCAGACTAGAATGCAAAGGGTGATGGCTGAAAAGGCATTTAAACATATTAAATTGTCTAAAATTCAGTGTTTTGAAAGAAAAAAACCTATCTTTTTTCCTTTGAATCCCTTCAAGGAGTTCTTTGATTTTTTTCCCGCACAGAAAATGACCTCACACATTTACACACCCCATCCCTGTTTGTCAAAGGTTTGATGCTTCTATACTTTGTATCATCAAACAAGAGGCTGTTTTTGACCAATCATAATAGATGGAAATAATCTTAGGAGCAGTTGCAAACATCAGTGAACATAGTTATAATTGCTTTATTTATTTTATGTATTTGTTATATTTATTATATTTATGTCCTGGCTTTTTTCGTGCAAGCAACCCATACCCGCTTATGTGATTCCCCCCTTCATTCTATCCTCACAACACCCTTGCGAGACAGGTTAGGCTGAGTGGCAACGTCTGGCCCAAAGTTACCCAATTAGTTTTCATGACCAGATAGGGACTAGAGCCTGGATCTCCCAACTCTCACGCCACTGTCCAGCTGCAGCATACTGCCTCTCATAGCTGAGGCATTCTGTTTGTTTCGGCAGTTTTTAAATGGCCATCCTATTGCTGGACGAGGACTGGAGAGACTCTGATTTAAAATACTCACTTGGACTTAAAACTCATTGGATGACCTTGGCCCAGTCAGCACTCTTAGCTTAGTCTAACTTACATGTTTGTCCTGATGTCAACATGGTGTGGGCCATGATGCCTTCAACTTCTTTAGAAACATGGGGCAGTGGTGCCATAAATACAAACAATAAACATCAGGCAGCAGTGCTAGTTTGTTCGCTCATTTCTTGGATGAGTTGTCATCTTTGTGTGAGTAGGTGATATTCCACTGTCAGTTTGGGGAGTCAGGAATGCCAGTTCAACACATGGGTCAGCTTGTAGAGCCCTTCCTTTGGGAGCCCTCACCAATAGAGGTGTTATTTAAGCATTTGTGCCGAAGAAATGCACCCTAAGCAACGTAGAACCCCAACAAACATGGCCTCCATGGCTGCAGAGTTTCCCTATATTTCCCCAACCCTTCTTCATGGCCCAGCAAATGGTTTTGTTGATTTATCTGGTTGGATGCTGAAACCCACTCCATGGGACAGAGAAATTATTTGCAGCTACAATTCTTGAGAAATAGCAGTGGCTTTTCAAATCCCAAAGTGTTGTTTTGCAATGAGTTTTCCTTTCATTCTCAGACACAGACCTAACTTTGGTCATTGGTGCCAATGACACTGTGAATTCTGCAGCCCAGGAAGATCCAAACTCAATTATAGCAGGCATGCCTGTGTTGGAGGTCTGGAAATCTAAGCAAGTAAGTAATCAGAAGAGACTGATGGTGTTTTGCTCAGTCTGTGACTGTAAGATTCTCTCCACATCAGAACAACCAATAGCTAGCCTGAAATACAAGTGGGGTTGAGGACTTCTTCCAGACCCTACTCAAAAGCTACATACTTAATTGCAGTGAGGGCAGTTTCAGTGGCATCAGTTGAGAAGCCAGTTAAATCCCTTGATGGCCATACAGTGATCCTGTTCTAGCAAACAAATGGGCAAAGGACAAAACAGAAAGAAGTTATCTTTTGATGACTGGAAACGTGTGATCAGGAAAGCTTGAGCTCATTTACATCCTCTGAATTCTATTCCCAGATTAGTTCTGATTTATATCCATAACATATTGCAAACTTTGCTTTTTTCCTGTTGGCATGAGCATTCATTTTTCTGCATGGCCTTCTCCGGGAGGTACTATTTTTCTATGTGCAAGAGATCATGTGTGGGCAGTGCAGTCTTCCGTCAGTAGCCTATAGTGCTATATCCTTGCAATGTTTTGAGTGGAAGAAGCATAGTTTAAAAGAGAGATTCTGTCTTTCTAATCTTGAAACTTTAAAGGGGGTTCACAAACTGCTGGAATAGTCCCTTCAGTACTTGTACACCCACTTGTAGAGAGATGGGCCCCACCGAGTTGAAGGTTGCAGCCATATGACTGTAGGGTAGGCATCGTACAATGGTCAGAGCAGCCCTTTTCATGTTGCCATTTTATTTCTTCCACAGGTCATTGTCATGAAGCGCACCCTGGGTGTAGGGTATGCTGCAGTTGACAACCCCATTTTTTACAAGCCAAATACCTCAATGCTGCTGGGAGATGCAAAGAAAACCTGTGATGCTTTACAAGCCAAAATTAGGGAATCTTAGTGTCTCCAGTCAGATTTGTATAATTGGTGCCAATCATTGGTGAACAGTATTAAATGCCGTTAACTTACTTGGGCAAACTGAGCACATTAAAATCAAAGGAACTTAAGGGAATAACTCTGGCTCAATTGTATTTCCAGGGAGTAGGTTGCATACAGGTGCTCTCATTTATATACATCAGATCATTTATATGCATCAGAAAGACAGGGAGACAGAACATATTAGATCATGTGAAAAATTAATAGTTTCTGTGCCTTCATGAATGAAAATGTAAATCTCTATATTTATTAAAATATATAGAACACAATATGTTGATCAGTTTACTTTGCTATCATTGCCATAGCAATTATGACCCTTGAAATAAATGGATGGCAGGTATGAGCAACCGGAAGTACCTGAGCCAAATTTGACCATCAGTTGGCAGTCCAGAGTCAAGATATACAAGGAGTGGGATTTCTGCCATGAGACTTGTCAGTGGGATGGAATAGTGACTGTGATTGGAGGAACACTACCCTCCACTCTCTGCTTAACTCATCCATCTAGGTGCTGGTGTATAGTAAGAGAAGTCCAGAAGCTCATTGGATTTGCTTGTACTTGGACCTTGCTCCTCTCCCATCTCAAGAAGTTGTTCAGCCATGTGTCCAGAAACACTTCTGAACAGGAATGATAGAATATCTTATGGTGGGCCTGGTCTTCGATTGCATGCCAAACAGTGCTTGTTCCCTACCACCTTGTTCTTACTACCCCACCTTTTTTAAAAGAAGTGGCCTCTGAAATTGGAAAAAAAAGTTTCTGAAGCTGGGACTGCAGCTGGTAGGGAAAGCAAGGGGGCCTTGTATGAAAACAGGAAGTGTCTCCAAGAGGTTCTTTGAATCCTGGATCTCTTGTGCTGGGGGTGGGGATTAAGTTATAACACTCTCTGAAAGTAAAACAAATTCCATTTATATAAGCTTCAGCCTGCCTTTGCTTTCAAGCTGAAAAAGAACATTTCAAAGAAATGTTTTCTGGAATAAAAGAAGCATGTTCTTCTTCTGATTGTTGTAATACATTAGGTCAGGGGGTTGCTTTTGTGTGCATTTCCAGTGGGTGGATGCTTTCCCTTTTCAATTATGGCCCAATGATCTTTTTAAAAGTTGCTTTAGATTTTCCTAAGAAAAGTTCAAAGGAGTCCTTGAGTACCCACACACGAAAAGTAGAAAATGTCAGGAAGCCTAGCAAAATCCATACATGGGAAATTGTATGAATCATTGTACTAAGCCAAGATGCCCTTTTCCTAGCAGCAATTAAAAAAAAAAAAACCCAAAGACCATGAAAACATTTGGTGTTGCTGTTTATTAGGGAGATAACTGCTAAAGATATGTCTTGTTGTAAAAACGTTAATGCTTAGTAACATCAGCAATTCAAGCAACGTGGGCCACAATCCAGCGAGCCTTTATTGGCACTACATTTCACAGTATTACAACTATGATTTACAAGTTGGAAAAATTCAGGGTTACTCTGCCTTGAACTTCTGAACTCTGTGTTGTGTTGCATTTCAATTAGATGAATGTGCTAAAAAGGACCAACTGGTCAGCTCTGCACATGTTCAGATCATAAAATGTACAAAATGCATAAGGATTCATTTATGTATGTTCTTCTCCTTCTTGTACTACATGATATTCAGGCAAAAATGACTGAGTGTAGACATAAGATAGAGAAAGAGAGAAAGAAGGAAGACTCTGCTTTACACAATGCATAATTAACTTAAAGAATTCACTGCCAGATCCTACTGTGAAGAGTGGCAGCAGCTTAGATGTTTTAAAACATAGATTAGAGGTCAGGGAAGATATTGACAGCTATAAGTGAAGACAGCTAAATGGAATCTCCATGTAGAGAAAAGCACCTGGTGTTGAAGGCAAAAATGGGAGAGCTGGTGCCTTCCCAAAGCCATCCAGCTGGATCCTCTTGCCAATAGAATACCAAATAGATAACAAGGCTGTCCTTAGCAGCTGACGTAGTCCTGCAAGTTTCAATAGGAACTGGTTTATCAAAAGTTGGTAAAACAGAAATGCATCCGTTTTAAAGATGTTGGCATGAAGCTTAATGCAAGCCTTATTAGAACAAGTGACTCCTGTAGCACAGCAAGCAGCTAAGCATCCGGTATATAGCCTCAAATAGTTCTATCAAATTCTCAGTAAGAAATTAAATGTGTAACAGTGCCATCCGACGTGGCTGGTCCTCACTCTCCAAACTGGTTTATGGGCATCCTATCAAGAGTGGAAGGAGTGCTGAGGGGAAGTTGCTTCCAAGCTTCTTCAGCCCTGCAAAAGACATAGACAGTGTCCTGTCTTGCAAGAACAGGCTGTGCCCCAATGGATCCTGGCAGTGCCTCCTTTCTCCCCAATCCTCTCCCCCTGGAACACTTACTAGATGCCAGCTCTGGGAATGGTCTTTTGCTCTTGAAGCCAAAGCTGGTGCACTGCAAAAGCAGTGGAAAGGTGTGGCCCTTACAGCATGTTTCTAAGGCTAGGACTCTAACTGCTCTTCTAGCTAAGGTGAGAGCATCTACCAGAGTTAATGCCTGTTAATATAATCAGAGTGTGTGTCTTATAACTACAGCAGGTACTGATATTAAATAAGTTCTTCCAAAGATTCAAAGAAAAGCACAGGTGGTCCTTTGGCAATTGTGAATTTGGCGTATCTTCAAAGAAATGTTCATTATTAGATTGCGAAGAATAGCCCCACCTTCCCCTATATGAAATGGTGTGTATCCCAAATTTACATGATCTCTTGATATACAGAAGTTTGAAAATAAGCACAGATGCATTGATACAAACAACAAAGTGCATTGCAATTTTAGGGTATTGGTCACAGATGTCAAAAATTACATTCCTTCCCCAATAATAATGGGGGCTCTACAAACTATACAGAGTATGTAATTCCCTTCATTTAACAGGTCCAGCTGTGCCAAAAGAATAGGTACAAGATACACAAATATTTCTGTATATTTAAACCTGACTTTTATCTTGCAAAAAGTAGCATTATTTCAGAATTCAGAAGCATACTTTTGTTCAGCAATATCCAAATTATCAAACCAAAATGGGTACAGAAACCAACATTATAAGAACACTATTTAATTATTCCTTAAGCAATTTTACAGCTTTAGACCTAGCCATATTAACCATTGGCATTGTACTAAATACATTAGCCTAGATATTTTTTTCCACCGAAATACTGTTCTAATCATTTTTAGTAAGCAGTGACATCACCAGGGTAAAGTCATATTTGATTATCAAAATCACATTCCTATGCAGCGAACTAAGTTTTATTATGTTTAAGAGATTCCATGTTGGCATTTTGACTATAATTACAATTGGAAAACATTTCTATTTAGAAGCAAAGGCACATTTTTGTTTCAGGCAACACTTCCAAAACAGTTCATTGAAGTCATATCAGAATTTGTCTGAATTCAGGCCTATGTTCAAGGGACAGAAACTTTTACTATTCTTTCAAATATTCTAGGCAACTGTACAATTGTGTTGCTCAAAACTTTAGTAACAAGCTTTAAAACACAGAGTTCAATGGACCATCATTAATATTTGAGTGGTAGAAATTTTTGTGATTGAGATGAAAGATGTCTTAATCTTTTCCTATAGAACATTTGGCATTTTTTATCAATCTGTACATAAATGAAAAGAAGAAAAGCAGATTGTCATATTGTCCTTCATATTTTTCTTCTAAGAATGCCTTGTGATAGTCTACTAAAAAATAATAAATTGCTTCAATAGTAGAGAGGTAAGTATCAGGCTTTCCTTTCTGATGACGCCAAAAGCAGGTTTTCCTTGATTTCAGTTCAATTTGCAGCAATCCTGCACAGGGAAGGAAACAAAGCAAAATATGTATGCTTTTAAATTTATTGGTAACGCACTGATAATACATGGTCTCCAACCATCCCAACAAAGAATGTGCCTGATGAAGACACCTGCATACGTATCTGTCCACAGCTGTTTATATTCTACTTGGAATCTGTGTGATAATCCCTTATCTTTTTTTCTGCAAAATGCTTGCTTATTGATGCCTTCTAGGCAAGACTGTGAGAAGGGTAAGAAAGACATTTTGGACTGTGCATGTCTCCTGGTGCAGTTCAATCCTGGTTGTGGAAGGTCACAGAGGATGGCTGTAATTAAGGAAAAGGAACACAGGCATTTCTGCTCTTGTTGAGGACCCACCCAGAGCTACCTCACAGAGGAAGAAAGACGGTTCAGACTGGGTGCTGGTCATCACTGCCGGTGCTTGGTACGTTTGGGACAAATCTTTTCTGCTCAGAAAGGAGAAAGTAGCCAGGCAGCATTGTCCACAAGTCTGTGATAGAGACTAATTTTTGCTTGGCCTTGTTTTAGCGTACGGAAGACAGCTTTTGTTATATTGCTGCTTTTACAAAGAGGAAGATGCCGGATGATTTGCAGAAGTATGCAGTGTTTCATAACTTGGAAAAAACAGTGTACCAGTAAAGGCCAGGATCCCTTGCTCAGGCAATTCCACAACAGTGTTCTTATTTTGTGCACACAACAGTGGTGCAGCTTTAGCCTAGAAATACATGCGCACAACAAAGCATTTAGGTGTGACTAGAACCATGCACAGGGATAAGCTGCTGGATGCTCATACATTTGCCCCTCAGTGAGAAGCGAATGGAGAACAAGCACATGAGCACAGACAGTACTGGGTTCTTATGTGCACGCCTAAGGCACGGCCAAACTCTGTTCATGTTGAGGATCGCCTCCTACATTAGTGCTTCTTCTGGACTGTTCAGCAGGACCAGTGCTGCATGCCCTTATTATAATTTATTATTAACATACCTTGGAGTCGCTCATCTGTGATTATTTTGTTCGTTTGATTCCAGGTACTGTCAATAAATACGATTTTCTTCAGCACGGCATCTTTGCTCCTGCTGTGCACTTGGGGCTCACCCAAAGCACTGTCATTGGCCGACTCAGTTTTCACACACTTGAGGGCTGGTTCTGCTGATGACTCATCCTTGTCACCACAGACATCCTCCTTATGTTTGCGTTGCCAAGAGCGGGGCATGTCATTGATTAAAACGGAATTAGGCCCAGGAAAGATAAGTGCAATCTAGAGCAAAACAGAGATCTCTGTAAATATGGTTCTAATTTTCAAGTGTTGTGATGGTGAACGAGCATCAAGCTGAGGTCACGATTGCTGCTCAGGCAAACCGCCACTCCGGGTTGTTTACAGCCTTCGGCATGTGCCTGGCCTGCGAGGCTGCAGATCCCAGTCCCATCCTCTCAACATAATGTGAATTGTAATACTGGCCTGCCTTGGAAAGGGCTATTGTAAGGATCATTGAGATAATATATAGGACTTTCTGAAATACCTTAGATAAAAATGCCTTAATATTTGTATAATTCAAATCCAAGTGTTCAAAACACTTCACATGCATTATCTAGTTGTAATCCATGTTAAAATGCTCTTTATTATTATCACTCATCTTACCTATGGGGATTCTAAGGCTGAGCTTGCTGAAGGTCACCTAGCAAATGCAAACCAGCTTGTCAAGGGAAACGTACAGCTGGACATGAGTGTCTAAGCATCCTTCCACCCATGCTTCCCAGCAACTGGGGTACATGGGCATACTGCCTTTGATCCTGGAGGTGGTATATAGCCATCAGGACTAGTAGCCATTGATGGCTTTCTCCTGCATGACTTTGTCCAATCTCCTTTAAAACCACCCAGATTGGCAGTCATTACTTCACCTTGCGGAACTGAGTTCCACAGTTGAACTATATGCTGTGAGAAAGACTCCTTTTCATCTGTCTTGACACTCCCACCAATCAACTTCATGGGATGGCCCCAGGTTCAAGTATTATGGGAGAGAAAGACAACTTATCTCCCTATCTACTTTTTCTTCACCCATGAAATTTTGTACACCCCTTTCATGTCTTCCCTCGTTCATTGTTTTTCTAAGCGAAGCAATTCCGGCTGTAGTTACTTTTCCTTATAAGGTAGTTGTTCCAGCCCCTTGATGTTTCTGATTGCTCTTTTCTGCACTTTTCCACCTCTACAATAACCTTTTTTTAGGTGTGGTGACTAAAACTGTACACAGTATTCTAAATGCAGCTGTACCACAGATTTGTATAAGGGCAGTACGGTATAACAGTGGGATTGTGCACCTTTTTCTGCTTGAAGCTTTGTAGGAGCGAGCATTTGTTCTTGTATAATGCTTATTTCTACAGAGCTTGCAAAGCATGGTGCTGATCGAAGGGCGGTGTTACAAGGACTATTGTTTATTAGAGGACCAGCCCCCTGAAAATACTGTAATGCTCATGAGCCAGTACAGGATCATGATGGGAGCATGCACATCATTAACATGTGATGTGTGGAAATGCGTGATACCAGCGGTTTTCCAATTCTTTAAAAAGGACAGAAGGAGAATGTGAGCCAAGAGAAGACTGTAGACCCATATAGACACTGAGGCATGCTTCATTTATTACACATGGTGTTCCAGACTAGAGACTGCATTAACTGCCCCCTAAGAGAAGCATAATCAATACTGTTGAACTCAGCAGATCAGAACAGGTTGAACTTGTCTCAAGCAGCCAGTGCAACAGTGATCCTGAATACAAGATAAACGCCAAAATTCTCTTTGAGGGAATGCAGAACATTGGAATGACCATGTGTTTCCCATAGAGCAAGAAGGGGGAAAGGGAGAAGCTAAAAGCCTATGTATCCCTCACTGTACCAATTCTAGAAAACCTCTTACTTCATGTTTCATCTCTTCATAGTCTGGAATACAAGGATATGTATAGATTGTGACATCTTCAGAGGCCAGTAGCTTGGCATGTACAGCTGTGCTTTTGCCATCTGTTTCATTGGGATGTTTAATGATGTCAATCTTCAAGGGAAGCTGCAACAAAAGAAGAGCACAGCACACACAGAGAAACAGCACTTTCATTCCAGGCGTTAAAAATGTGTAACCTGCTTGATTTTTGTATGTGGATACAGATAACCACAGTTCAAGATACATGCATTTTGAATCCATTGCCGTTGGTGTGCGTGTGTTAACATTCACTACTTTTCTCTGCAAGTCTGCTTAAACTCTGTAAACATGCAGGACAATTTCTGCCAGTATACTTGAAATACTAGTCATTGTAGTAGGTGGACAGAGCCAAGCCACTAGGAGCTGTTTTCAGAAAGTCATGGTATTTCTCACTTTCAAGAACTGAAGAAATGAGAGATGGGTTTGCTCCTATTCTTGTTAAACTTGATAAAAGTTAATTAATCAACTCATCAATACCTTCCTAAATCCTATCAATCCTGTCTCCTCCTGGAATTTCTTATTTCTGAATAAACCTGTTATATCTACATCTTTGCTATACTCAATAATAGAAATGTTATATCAATAGAAATGTTATAATAATAATAATAATAATAATAGCAGTAAAGGATGATAAACTGGCATTAACCTGCTCATAAACTTTTCCCAAACCAAAACAAAAGTCCTAATACATGGGTTTGTTTTAATAATGGCTAAGTCTTCCTTACTACAAAACCAGTGAGGTTTTCTTGTTCCAAAACACTTTTAAAAAATCTTAATATTTCTATACTTACAATTTACTTATATACTTATATAAGTATACTTACATACTTAATATTTATATACTGTCCCATTCCCATAGGCTCTGCACGGTTTAAAGAATTTAAAACCAGAGCGAGTAATGTTGACTATGACAATATATTAAATAAACTGACATAAAAACTATTCTGGAAAGGCCTGTCAGAAGATAAATGTCTTTAACTCCCTCTTAAAGGTGGGAAATTGGGAAATCAGATGCATCTCTCCTAGCAGATCCTTCCATAGTTGAGACAGCTGACACTAATCTCACAGAAGCAGACTTCAGAAGATTATCCCCAGAGGATCTTAGCTGGTAAGGTGGATGTATGGGCAAAGGTGCTCCCAAAATACATTATCATTTTTAACCTGGCTCCTCCGATGATGCTGGACAGCTGTTTGATAGTATCACTTTCTACAAGGGCACACTCCTCCACCACCTGGTGATGACTAATTAGTTTTGGCCCTAATCCCCCTTTTTTCCTGCCCATAAGTGATGGATTTTTCCCTATTTCATAATTATCACATTACTCACTTACAAAGGAATATTTAACAAAAGAAACAAAATTCTTGATCAAGATTACTTGATCATGCTTTACCTTTCAAAAACTGTTTAGCAGCTTTCATCTTACCAGTTCTCATTCATAAGATAATTATTTAGCATAGTGTAAATAACTAAGTAAATAAATAAATGAATATTATCTGTTCCAACTCATGAGTAATGCAAATCCCAAAATATTATATGGGGTTCTCCTCTAGGGAACTGAATATTTCCTTGTCATTTAATCTTTTTACTGTGTCTCACAAGTTAAATTCTAACCATGCTGATTTAGTTCTATCAATTTTATATCCTGATATTTGACTATATTCTATGAGAAGATTTAAAATATTTCCAAAAGTTCTAGATCTTGGAAAATTAGCACAATATTCCATACAGATTTATTTTAATTTGATCTTTCCTCTATTTTAATTCAGGAATTCCAAAACTAGACAAAGTTCATGAATTATAGTAATTGTGAATTATAATTGTTAAAATTGACAACAGTGACTGGAAATAAGGTATATCGTGCACTAACCTTCACAACTGGAATTTCTTTGGTAGGGACCGTTTCAACTGGAACATAGCAAGTGTAACAATAGAACATCCTTGAACTATTACATTTGGGGCATTTTGATCTCCCTTGCTTTTGAGCTCTTTCAAGAACAGCCTGAGACGCTAGATGCAAGTTTTCAAGTGGGGTGTCCTCGTGAGACTCAGATGTAGTCTGTGAGTCTAGACTTTTCAGACTTTCAGAATTCCTTTTTATTCCCTGGTGGCTTTCCCGGTTTTCTTTTAAAGTCTTTAAATTTACCTGTGACATGTTCAAACAATACCTTTGGATCTGTTAAAGAAAGAAAAATCATAAAGTTTTAAAAGAATGGATTTGCAGACAAACCCTCTTCTAATTAGAGAACAAGGCCTGATGTGTTGGACATAATCATAGCCAAGCATCATGAAATAGGGGAGCTGAGTTAAACACCTAGTTCCTCACCTAGTAGAACCTGAAAAAGATCCAAGTGTGTGTGTTTGTGGTGGTGAGTGGTTCCTGACAACTGGATCAAAGGCAACTTCCAAAAGCAAAAGTAAGAAAAAACAAGAAAGTCAGCTTCCACCAGCCCCATCAGACACACGTTTGTCTGGATCCATCTCAAATTTAAATTAATTTAAAGATTTAATTTAAATTAATTTCAGTAAAGGGCCATTTTGAATTCCTGTTTACAATGCTGCTTTTTTCAGAAACTTTAATTCTGAAACGTATCTTTCCAAGCACAGCAACTTTTGCACAAATGTTTATTTAACTAGATGAACGTATTTACTAAGTGCAGATTGGATATGCCAAAGTCAGATTCAGCTTTGGTGTGCCTTATTTGAAAGTAAGCAAATACATGAAAGTGCATTTAACTTGAGTGGCCAAAAGGAAAAAAAAAATCAGCTTTGGAAAACTCAAGCAATTGTCATTTGATTTGCAAACACTAACCATGAAACAAGTTGCTAATTTACTTAATTCACTTTGCCAACTTTCTGTGAATAACATGTAGTAGAGAAACTTATCGAAGAGAAGAAAATGTTAACAAAAGCTTGAGACTGTCAGTATTCTCGGCTGGTGAGCACAGCCCTGGCAAGATGTTATTGGCTATTATTTAAGCAATAGGCTTCATTTCTCATTTGTAAGGTTGGCTCTTCCTTCCCTGAACAGGAAAATTTTGAGAACGTTTACTCTGGAAAGCTTGGGAGGTAGGCAAAGAAAGCTTCTCAGATTTGGACAAAATCTTCCAACCATGCAGATTCCTTAGCAAGCAGCAAGTAATTTAATTTGCAATTCATTCCCAGTTTAAAGATCAGTGCATTTTTCTGTAAAGCCTCATGACAGCATAATGCACAGCTCCAAAGAGCAGCCATTGACCCCAGTGGAAAAAATTTTGCTGACACAGGAAGGGAGATACTCCATAATCTCTTGTAAATATAAGAAATATCAAGTGCGTTTTCAATATGAGATAAAGGCACATCTTGTATGACTGGCAGTCTCATTCCAACTGTCAATTACACACACAAATCACTGCTCCAGACTACTCCACTCATTGTTACATTGAGAATTCTTGGTTGATTTGTGGGGCAAAGGTGATAGATTCTAAGTTCACTGTCCTTGCCCCCACCCACAACTGATCCGCAGCCAAGCTTATTTTTACTGCCAATTTCAACACCACTCAAGCCCTATCCTATACGGATTAGTGTCACTCTAGGACTAGGGAGATAAAAGTTCTTTGCTGCACTCGAACTATTAAACTACCTGGATGTTTCAACCTTGAACACTGGCCAGGCTGGATGAGGATTATGGGATGCTAAGTGCATAACATCAGGAGAGTACCAGGTTGAAAAGGTTCAACTGGCTGTTAATTAAGCAAATGTTTCTGCATTTGGAAGTGGCTGCAGGTTTTTATTTAGTTTCGTAAGAACAAAAATGTAGACATCTGATCTACTGGGTTCCTGCAGTTTGAAAATCAGTGGCCACTTCAGTGCTCATTTCTGAACATACACCCTTGCTTCTACTTCTGAGCCCTGAGGCCCTGATCCTTTGTGCGGTTCCTTTAAGTAAGTCCTGCTGGACAGGCTATTTGAGACCCAAGGACATGTGGCCTGCTGAAACCAGAGGGACTACCTTCCAAGTTTACATACTTCACATTGCTCTGCCATTTTTCAGGCTGCAATCCTATGCACTTTCGAAACTCGACGAACACAGTGGGATTTATTTCTGGGTGAACCTGCCTTGCATTTTACGAGTTCATCGTGCTGGTGTGCTTAGAACCTGCTCCGAAGAGAACGGGAGAAAAAAATGTATTATTAAGAACACGATCCTATGCATGCTTGGACATAGAGAGACCAAAGTCCTACAGCTCACAGCGTCCCTCAGCCAGTCATGCTGAGAGTTGCAGGACTTCAGTCTACCTAAACATACACAGGATTGCACCCTTAAACTACGGCAGGGACAGACTGGGGCGAAAAGCAGTCCCTGGGAGGAGAGAACGCTACCCCAAGCATCTTCGCTGCCTCTGCACGCTTGTCCCCGAGTCCCAGGAGCGGCGACTACACAGGCAGCACCATTTTCCCATGCGCAAGGGAAAGCAACCTACGTTTGTTAGGGCAATGCCCAGCAGCGCTCCCGCAGCGGTGGGGATCAATCGCAGCCGCCTCCGCCCTAGGAACAGACGGTCGTCGGCGGCCTGCACCTTGCAGCAGCTCCTCCCCGCGCGCCGCAAAGGGGACGCGAGCATAAGTGCGGCCGCCGTCCCTGTTGCGAGCCGGAACTCAAGTGGCGGGCCTGGCGGGGAGGGCCGGAAGGACCGGACGACGGGACCATACGCAACGGGGAGCGGTTGCGAAGGCTGCCTAGCAACGTCGGCGCGGGCTTGGCGGAAGTGCTGCCGCCGCGGCCTCTGCTGCGCAACGCTGGCGCTGGTTCCCGGCTGGCGATGGGGAGCAGAGAGGGCCGCTGACCGCGAAGGAAGGGGCAGGAGAAGCGCTCCATGTCTGTCGTACCGGGCAGTCGGCCGCCCACAAGGGTGGGGGTTTAATATAAGGCTCTGTTTGAATTAGGGCGGCTGAGGCCTTGTGGTTGCGAGCCTGGGTGAACTGTTCAGCCGCCTGGAATGCAGTTCTTCGTGGTTGCCAGGCAGGGCGCCAGCCAAGCAAGGGTGCAGGGCTGTTTGTTCACGGAGGACAGACGTTCTGCAACTTCTAGTTTCAGTGTGTTTTTCTGTCGAAATAGGCATAGAAAGAAAAATGCAAAGAGAGAAAAATATTCCAAAGTGCCAGTGTATTCAGTAGGGCTTGCTTCTGTGTAAGTGTCCCTATTCACTTATTTAGGACCAGAGCTCTCTGAACTAAGTAAACATGCATAGAAGTTTGTTGCTAACCAACCCATGCCTACTTTGGACTAAACCTCATTGAACAATATTGCTAATCTATGCCTTGTTATTCATCCCTTAATTAAGGGATTGAGCGTGTACAAGTTTTGACAAAAGAAGGCTGAAGCTACCAAAATGCCCTACCCAGCATAGTTGGGTAACCTCGCAGACAGATAGAGGAAATACAGTGGACATAATCTACTTTCAACATAGTTCCCCATGACATTCTGATAAGCAAATTAGCAAAAAGCGGACTAGGTAGAAAAACAGGTGGTTCCAAAATTGGCAGCTAATCAGGCACAAAGAGTGCTTATCAATAGCACCTTCTCAAACTGGAGGGAGGTAACTAGTGGGGTGCCACAGCATTCAGTCCTAGACCCAGTGCTCTTCAACAGCTTATTTATTTATTTAGAAAGCTGCTATGCCTCCCCATTTGTTGAAGCCTCGGGGCAGCTCACAACAATAAATAATAACAATATAAAAACAATATAATTGGAGACGTCCTGGCCAAAGATGTAAAATAAATAAATAATATTAGCAATTAAAATGACATTTAAATAAAAAGCAAATAACAACGGCGCCAGGCGGACCTCTCTGGGGAGCGCATTCCATAGATCGGGCACCACAGCAGAGAAAGCCCTCCTCCGAGTACTTACCCTCATATCCTTCATGGAGGGTTCCCGGAGAAGGGTCTCTCGCTGATCTCAAGGATATTTAGATAAGGAAATACAAGGAAAGATAACCAGATTTGCAGACAAAACACACTGGGTGATTTTGATAAACTTGAACGGTGGGCTGAAAGCAACAGAATGAGATTCACTGAGGACAAATTCTAAGTCCTCCACCTAGGAAAAATAATCCAAATGAATTGATACAAGATCGAGAATACGTGGCTCAACAGAGCTGAAAAAGATAAAAACCTTGGAGTTCTTGTGAATGACAGGCTAAATATGAGCCAATAACATGGTGCAGCTATAAAATGAGCAGATGCTATTTTGGGATGCATTAATAGACGTATCAGTTCCAAAACATGAGAAGTAGTAGTTCCTCTATACTCCTCATTAGTCAGATCTCATCTGGAATCCTGTGTCCAGTTCTGCGCACTAAGATTTAAGATGCAGAAAAATTAAAGAGTTCAGAGGAGGGCTACAAAAATGATACAGAGTTTGGAAACACTGCTCTATGAGGAGAAACTGAGAGAACTGGGCATGTTCAGCATTGAGAAGAGGAGACATTGTATCCCTCTAGGAGTGCCTCAAAGACTGTCACAAAGAGGAAGGTCAAGATCTCTTCTTGCTGTTACCAGAGTGCAGGACAAGAAATAATCAAGGCTAGATACCAGGAAAAGTTCAGAGCAATAAGACAGTGGACCAGGTGCCTAGCGAGGTGGTGGGCTCTCCCACACAAGACATTCCAAAAGAAACAGGACAGCCATCTGAGTAGGATGGTGTAACATGGTGTCCTGCAACAGCTGGGGGTTGGACCCGATGGCCTTCATGGCCCCTTCCAACTCTGCTGTTCTATGATTCTATGATTTGCCCATTTTCAGTTTAATGTTATGAGGTACTACCAGATATGAATAAGCTGCTATTGGGGCACGTCCCCCAGATATGTGTTTTGGTGCAGAATTTTGAGTAAAGCATTAGGGTTGGTGCTGGCTAATCTGGGGCTCGGGCTCACTGCACAAATTGTGCACAAGCTTACTTCCCTGAGACGCTAGTGGGGGACAGGGTAGAAAAGCTTTTAAGAAATAAATATAATAAATATGCTAATGTACATATCCTCTGAAGTCGCTTATGTGTACAGTTACATGGCCATGTCCTCTCAGGAAAGCACTATTTTACAAAAGGGATGTAAAGTGACAGGAACACATTTGATTTAAGGGAAAAAATCTAAAGCAAATGATTGAAAGAGATGGGTAGCAGTGGGTGAAGTACAACTGGACAAAAAGCCAGCTAATCCAGGAGGATCAGATGCAAAAGAAATTGTCTGGGCCCCTGCCCCTTTATGTCAGCAAGTGCCCCTGGGAAAGCAGGTGGTGGGACAGAGGTACTGCCCAGAGCTTAAGGGTTCTAAATAAAAGGTTCAGAGCTCCAGCTCTAGTAGGTCGTTCCCTAATGTTGCCTCTGCAGCAAGTGTGGAAGAAAATATTTGCTATTGATTGGAATTTTAGCCTGCCCCATTAACCACACAGTTCCCAAGAATTAAACTTGAGAAAATGCTTCTAAAGGGATTTGTTGCCAAGTAGCATTTAGAAACCCAATATTTTTTACTTTAGGAGACTATCCAAATCCCATCTGGAGATCAGTACAGTTTCGAATATTGAGCACTTGTTTCATGAAATGCAAATCTAATGACACCACCATTTTATTTTAATTTATTTTTTTACCTAATGTTATCTTTTTCTATTTATAGAAATTGGCAGAGCCTCCCTGTACATTTGAAGATTTTTTACTCTCTCAGAAGTTGGTATGTACATTTTAAAAATGCCCACATTCATGCATGTTCTTGTGGTGGGGAAGGGGGGAATGAAGCAAACAGAGACCTTGAGAGTGTAAACTTTGTAAATAAGGGCCATGTTTCAAACATTCAAGCTTATGAAATTTAAGCACAATGCAGAATTGGAAAACATTCTTTGAAAAGGCATTCTGTTGTTGTTATACATTTTAATATGTTTTTGAGGCAACCTGCAAGCTGTTGCCCTTCTGTAATTTGCAAGTATAAGTGATCTCAGTGCTTTAGACTTCAGCTGATTTTACCAGTGCTTAACAGAATCAAGGTCAGTATGATGTAGCAAGTAGAATGCTAGACTGGAAGGAGAAGGAGAATCCAAGTGCAACCCCCTCCCTCAGCTGCAAAGCTCATTTGGTGGCCTTGGGTCACTTTCTTCCAAATGACCTTCTAGGTTTGTTCTGGCAATAAAATTGGATATCCTGAATCGCAGAGGAAGGATGGGATAAATGCATTACTTATATCTAGGATTGTGTACCTGTGACAGAATTTGTTGAAATCAAAATTTGGGCATGTTGAAGAAGAGGCGATGGTCTAGTGTGTTTTCAATTTATTTCTAATTGCCATTGGTGTTCCACCTTTCTATACCTGGTATTCAAGGAGCATAACAACAAAACTAAACCACAATGTAGAGAGGCTTTCACATATCATTGTGGGAAATCCCCAGAACTGTATGGGCACAACCTTGCAAAAATGCTGTGTATTTGTAAATTAAATTTATTTCAGAGGCAAAATTAAATACACACTGTTAAATATCTGACACTGAAATAACTGGATTTACAAGTGGAAAATTTTGACTGGTTGGTCCCATCCATAGAACCTAGATATGCAAGGATATATAAGTAACATTAATTGTGTGATGTCACTGAGCACTGATAGATTTTCTGTAATTGTTATTATTGCAGGATGATTGGCCAAGAGTTCCCTACTTGCCAGAAATGGATGCGCGTCCTTTGGTTAACCAGCTAAGAAATGACTATCCCATGGACACTGTTACTAATTATCTTCATGACAATGCTCCATTGCCCACTGACATAATCTCCAACTTCGGAAAGAAACTAGATCAGTGCAAAGTAGACGTTCATGAGCATGCTAAGCATGTGTTTTCTTTAGAATCTGGAGAAGCAAAAATAGATGACCAAGGGATTTCTATTCCAGAGCAAGGTAATTTTATATATTGAGTTATTAATGATATGGCATGTTATGGATAATGAGTTGTACTAGTGGGACCGGTTGGACTTTGAAACATGTCCTTATATTTAAATGATCAGTTTCTGGAAAGAATAGTCTGACCTGTGTGATGCTTAGAAAGAAATACAGTAATTACACGTCCAGTGCCTTCTCTAATTCTTGTTTGCCTCACCTCATTATACAAATTCAGTCTGCATTTTTAACATATACACCCGTGTGACACTTTAAAATGTTGTCTAGCTTTTGAGTGCTTCAATGATTTGGATGAACCCCATGTAATCTATTGAAAAAGTTAACATGAATATGCCTCTACTAAACAAAGCCAGTGGAACTAGGAACAGTAAAAAATTAATTTCACCATGATAATATAGTTAGACTTTGTTTTTTAAACACAGCAGTGTAAACTTCATTTGCTTCTGGGATTCATTTAGACAAAAATTACTATCTAGATGGCAATAAGTTATAAGCAATCCTGCATCCACTGACTTATATGCCTGAGATTCTAAGTAAAATCTCCCCTCATGTCCCTGTTTGGAGGCCAGGAGATACTTGGCACTTACATAGAAACAAACCAGATGTGTCCTACTTGATATAGTTGATGATGATCTGAAAATTGGGCTCAAAAATGTGGTCTGGCTCACACCAGCAGGGAAATATTTTCCTTAACGGCCAAAGTAGGCTTAAAAAGCAGGTTTACATCTCATAATTATTAAATTATGCCTGTAGTAAATCAGTTCTGTCTAATACCATGCAAGAGCATTTTAAAAAAAATAATTCAGAGTGAGGTGTTTCACTTCAGTTGGTAGACCTGTTGCTTGAAGCACCCCTGCTTTCCCCAGAGGTAATTTTAGAAACATCCAAAGGGCAATCCTATGGATTGTACTTTCAGTGCTTGAGAGGCCCTGAAACGTGGAAGCTTCTTCAATTCTTATGCCTGCTGGGCCAAAGCAGAAGGAAGAGCAGAGGTGATTTTTGCCTTCCCGTTCTCCAGTCTTTGAAGGTTTCACTAGATGGGCTTTTCTGCCTGTCTTTCAAGTGCTTCAGAGTGGGAGGGAAGGGAAGGGAAGGGGGATGGAGGAGGCTCAAAACAAACCATATCCTGGTCTCTGCCGTCTCTTCCTTTTCTCCCCTGTCTGAGGTTGAGTTTCTGATCTTGGAGAGCCAGCTGGCATGGTCTCTCTGTGCTAGCTGCAAGTAATTGGGGTGTGCGTGTCAGATTTCTGACTTGCTTTCTTGAGATCGAAGTGCTGCCTCCAGCCTTGGAGCAGGAAATCTGAACTGTTCTGTGGTCCTTGGGACACTCTTCCAGGGACCATAGGACTGATTTCTCTGGGGGCAATGCTGTGCTTATTTAGACAGCAACTCCCACACTGCCCGGCTAGCATTGCTTCTTAGGACATGCAGAGAACTGCAGGACTTTTATGTCTAAACATACTTGGGATTGCCTCCTTAGGCTGCAATCATAGCTCACCTGCTAGGGAGTGTGTTCTACTGAACTCCATGGAACTTAACTTGAGAAGAATATGTATAGGACTGTACGGTTAATTTTTGGAATTACGGCTGTGAAAAATCATTAATGTTGATTTTGTAATTAGAGTGGTTCTGTGGTCCAGCTATTAAAAACTTAATTTAAGCTGAAACAAGACACCTCACCTCAATCAAAAATCTAGCCCTATTATTCTGACAGTGTAGTGGTCTGTGTTTTCTGCACTGTGCATCTTTGAAAATGCTAGTAAATAGTTATGGGCAGAGCACTGGACTTGTACTTAGTTTCCTGAAATTGCAAATAATTGCCATATTTTATCTTCTTAGCACTCTTTATTCTTTTCAAGATGCTTCAACTCCTGAATCACATGCCAATTTGATAAAGAAGAAGAAAAAAATAAAGGTATTTAACTCATTGGTGAATAAGTCCAATCCACCCGTAGAAATGTCCTATTTTACAGAATTGCTTTGCTTATAGAATTGACTTACAGGAATACTCAGCACTGTATTGATGCCCTTCTACCTGAAGAACAGACAACACTGTCAATGTGATTCCCCGCTCTGCAATGCTCAGCGCACACTGTGAATCCATTCCAGTGGGTTGGTGGCCACTTCCAGGAAACATGGGGGAGGGGTTGCAGGTTGGAGGGGGGAGGAATGTGTGGAAAATTACACTACATGGCCAGAGGCCCATTCTCATAACATTGAATTTAGCCCTTACAGAACACTTTCCTGGAGGAGAAGGGTTTAGGATATAGATATATTTCAGTGAATCAGCATATGGCTTTTCTGAAATGATGGGACAATTTCACTGGTTTACCTGAAAATTAGCAGAAGTGGGTGGCTTTAGCAGCAGTTACACAGAGCAAGTTTTGCTGTTTCAGAGCTAGAGCATGTTTACAGAACTGGTGTGCCACAGAGGCAGTAGGAAGACTGTAGGAAGATCTTTAGATGAAGATGTTACTCTTGGAAACTACAGAGCTGCATGGTGAGACCATGAGGACATGGGGCAGTTGGGGGGTGGGGCAGAAACTATTCTGCCTAGAGAACCACATGAATGTCTGACTGGTCAGTTGGGGCAAATATCTGTGCACCATGGAAACAGCATGTGGGGGGCAGGCAGGGTTGCCATGTCGTGTGAAACACATTGTGTGTTTCTCTGACCATCATAGAGTTTCCTGTCTTTCTACCAGAAAATCAAGACCCAAGGTTGAGATGGTGGTTTTATAATATCACATAGGAAACACTGACAAACTTTCTTTACAGCTTGCAGTTCACTTTTAAATTTCACAGTGCTTTTTTCATGTCACTTTAATGTAGAAATCCTGGTATAATAAACCATGATGCGGACAAGCAGTGTGCTGGTGCACACAGCCCATTCACTTGCCCTTCAAGTGTGTGAACATGCCAGGAAGGGGATAGATTTGCATGATTTCTAGACCCCAAATTATGGTTTAAGGCTGCCCAAACAAGTCTAGATTCATAGATGAACAACGAATTCTGGTTTAAAGTTAGCCAGTTTGTATGCACTTAACCATAGTCCTGGCTTGTTGGTATGCACTTAACCATAATCCTGGGTTAAGTGCATACAATCAGGCCAAACAATCCCCTGTTCAAGCTAAGCAGGATGCAGGAGGTGGCATGCAGCTCATTCATACACAGTAGTTTATCACTTTAGGGTCCCTGTCTTATAAAGATGTGTTATCTCAGCTGCTGTAGCTTTTCATTATATGCTTTTATCTGTCAATTCTTTTAGCATAAAAGAACAGTATAGTTTACTTATATCATTCACTGGATTTAGCAAATCTTTACAATGTGTTTCTTTGAAATGTATTTCAGATTGCTGCAGATGCTACATCAGATTTAAGTTTCAAAACAGTTGAGGTAATTTTGCCAAATATATTACAGAAGGCCATGATAAAGCATGAAAGTTGATTAGTGTATTGGAGAGGTAAAAGGGGGTCAAAGCACAGGTAGTAGGGCCAAAATTAACTCAAAAATAGATTTAAAAGAAATATTTAAATATATAAAATCTTTATTTGGTCATGTAGTTGGCAATAGAACTACTGCTCTGGAATAGCTTGTTGGTTGACTGCAGGTTTGGTTTATCCAGTCAATCAGTTCAAAGCATTTCCCTATCATTTTTTAGCTTTGACAAGATAAGAGGAGAGTCCGTTATCACTCACTCTTGGTTATTTACTGTAATTTTGAGGTCAAACAGCCCATTATGTTAAGTAGACCTTCTAAAAAATATGATCAAAATTGACTTGGAGGTAATGGCTTTCATGGCCCCTCCTAACTCTACTCTTCTATGGTTATATGACTGTTTTCTTTTCTTGGTAAAATATATTATTCTTATTGACAGTTTGAACTGAAACTATAATGTGCAGGCAGGAGGGAAGAGGTTCTTTGTTGTGCCTGAGTCCTGATCTGGGAGGGGGTTGCACTTGGCTGTTTTTTCTAAACAGAAGCAAAATGGTCAATCCTAAGATTGCTTTTAAAAGTCTGTACTAAATGTGGCATGTGGCTTGGCTCTGACTTCGACTCTTCTCATGTTCAGAATAAGGATATTTGTAAAACAAACAGCAGGATAATTATTTGCACGCATTTTGTTTTTGCTGTTTAGAATTACAAGTTTCCTGGTTTCAAGTTGAGGAAACTTACAAAACTACCAAACCATCTAGAACCTGCACAACTCTGGGATTCTGTTCTGAAAGTCCAGATTTTCAAGGTAAAAACTTTGAATTTCAGTTTGCATAACATATAATTGTTGATACAAAATATTGCAACAGCAAAATATTATTTCACAAAATATTAGTTTGATATACAATTTCTAATTTCTAAGGCATTTTAATAGTTCTTTTAAAATATGTTGTTGAATTAGATAAATATTACTTAACAAACTTCATACATGTGATGCATTATAGAAATCTCAAGGCAATTACAACACACAGAGTCCTGTCATCTGCTGTTAAGATGGACAAAGCAATCTGATACTCACATTGCACCAGAATGAGAGGGGCATGCACCCAGCACATCCCCTGCATCACCAGACATGCAGCATGCAAGTTGACACTTCGGTGCCCCCAGTGTCAGCCTCAGCCACCGATAACCCACTACCGGCAGAGCACAGACATCCCCACAGGCAGGGTTTTGAATGTCCCACTGCTCCTCATGAACGACCATTTTATGAGCACAACAGACACAAAGGGAATGCAGAAGATGCAGAGTGTAGCAGCCACACGGCTTCCTGGGCAGAGAGTGTGCCCACGGCAGAGATCATGCACAGCTCCATTGGGAGAAGGATCCAAGATGCAGCTGGGGAGGTTAAGGCTTTTTTGAGGAGCAGACAGCAAGGGGCCAGAATATGTCCCAAGGACAATTACCAGCATATCCTCCCAGTAGCAGCCTGCAGGAAATCACTCTATAGGGCATGGATGTGGGAAGTCAGAGGCAGGAGTTTGAGCCCCACTAAGGAGAGGGCTGTCTCAAGGAAAGGTCATGTCATGAGTAGCAATGACCCAGCTATAATGTCCTCCATGTTAGAAACACCTTCATCTATCACAGAGCTTTCAAGCAAACAGGAGACTGCCTGGATCGAGAAGGTTAACCATCCAGTGCAGCAAGAGCTAGAAGTCTTGTGGCTTCTAGGGAATAGAGTGTGGAATGGGTTCTGTACCTGTGGCAGCATGACCTGTGGAGAACAAGCAGAGCCATGGACAGCAGTGGGTAATAAATGGGTGCGGGAGTGCATCGTCCTGAAACCAGCAAGCATTTCCATGGAGATCACAAAGCAGTGGGAGTGACAGAGGATGGAGGGGTGCCCCTAAGTACTTATGCCCAGTCCTAACCCTGTAGGGAACAGGGAAAATGTTATAACCTCTAGACCTTGGGGGTTTTTAAGCCCAGCTTTTTCTCTTTCTCTCAAAAACTTTTGGTTTTGTTTTTGTTTAACATCTAGACCTAAGTAGAGCCCTGGAGACATACTAAATCCTACTTGTTTTCTTGTGACATTACTTGTTCCAAATAAAGGTATCACTTTCAGGGTAGCCCTATTCCTTCTGATACTTGCTTACCCACAACTGAGACCCATTAAACCCAATGGGCTTACTTCTGAATATATGCAGTTAGAATCATCCTTTAAATAGTTTGGCCTGTGGAGATTTTCTTTTAATATTAGATCCCCCTTTTTTCTTTATGCTTTTTCTGTTCTTTATCTATTAATATTTTTGAAACAGTGCTTAAATGTTAGTTTGAGATAACTGCGTGTTTATCGGCGTTAGGTCATTTTATGAACTTGCACGTTTTGACAACGTGTTGCGTTTATTTATTATGGTAATTATTAATTTCCTGTCATTTGCTGAAGGCCAAGTAGTGTCAAGTATGAGACTTTCCAGACTTTGGAGGAGACCTAATGGTTTGGAGCCATTGCAGTTGAGCTGCACTGGTTCCCATATTTTGTTCAAATAACAGACTTTATTATAGATCTGTGCCAGATTTATGTTTATGCAAACAGTCTTTTAGAAGCCAAAAATGACTTGGGACCTAAACCTCCTCAATGAAGACTGATAATGTAACATTAACAATCAAGACTAATTTTTAATCCCATAAAGTGCGTGTTACAGTTATAGAGCACAAAATGATTGCTTGCTGTTGAGAAAATGAGGATTGACCTGAGCAATTATTTGGGGTCAATTTTAAAAGGGTTATATGAGGTTGCAGCTGTGGAATGACCATTATTCTTGTAGACACACAGTAAAGGGCTTAATGAAGTGTAATTTGTCTTCAGAGTTCAGTTCTTGGATTCATGGCTATAAAAATAATTTCCCAAACATGATGCAGTGAGATTGGTCTAAACTTGTCAAATAGCTTATTTTAATGGATTCAGGAATTGGCCCTACTTTTCCATCACAAATTTATTAGGATTCTTTCACAAAGGTTATAGTTTAAATTACCACTTCCAAGTTTTTGCCTTGTGGGTTCCAGGCAAATGCAATTTGAGCCCCATCACTATCAGGTGTCAGGAAAAAAATGAGCAAAAAGTTTTGCCATAAAATGGCCGCTAAAACCTGACACTTTATGAACAGCTTTGTACTTAAGAGGGGATTCTTGGTCATGTTGTATCCAAATCCTGCTTCCCACATATGCCTTAAAAATGCTAATGTCCCTTTCCTGAAAGATCTTCCTTTGGAAGTACACTCTTCAATATGCTAATTGTTTACCTGTCCTGATGATTCTTTTTATATTGTGTTCAACACTATTGTTTTACCCTAATGTGCCTATAGCATACTGTGTATGTGATCTCACATCTCATACCCCACCCTTCCCCCACCTGTAAATGTAATTGATAGGTTATAAAAGCACCTTTTCCATCTTAGTGGTCGCTTCAGGGGCTGGCTACATGCCACTCGTATTTCCTGTATGTCTGAATAAACTGTAAATGTTCTTCTGATAGTTCACCCTCAGTGGACTCTTTTGGGGTTTTTCCCCACTCTTGTCACAGGCAACGTGGAAAGCACTGCGCTTTGGGCTGCCTGCATCACAAGCGTGACAATTTGATCAATACAGGCCAGATGTCAACGCCTATTAATTTTTTTTGTGTCTTCAGCAAGCTTGCTTTGTATATAAGCCCACTTAATTGTTTTATAACAGGAGTCACATTGGCAGCTATGCACTATATGTAGAACATGCTATATGTCCAACTTTTCAAAACAAAAAGAAGCCTCAGGAACCTGCAATTTGTAGTGGAGAAGTGGGAGCGGACTTCTTATCCATTTCCCTTCAACAGTTTCTACAAAGACTCGAAGCAGAATTTTTTTTTTTTTATGCATAGTTCCAGATTCCGTTTCTCACATTTGTAGCCTCTTACTTTCTTCATTAAAACAAGCGTTGAGACTTCATACATGATAATATGCATAAACATATAATTTACCCCTTAGGGTGTACACTGAGGATGAAATTGTTAGTTTGATCCTAAGTATATTTAATTGGGATATACTAATGCAACTAATTAAATTATTAATGTCTACAATCCGGAGTAAACCTTATTGGGATCCATTACATTGAAATAAATGGAACTGCCCTAAAAATAAGTATGTTTGGGACTGAGTACAGAAGACTTTGTTGTGATTCTCTCTCTCTCTTTCTCTCTGGGCAGGGAGTGAATCAAAAAGTTCTGAAGAAATTGTTTATCTCTGAAGCATCTCTTGCAATTTTACAGGATTGCTTTTGGTGGTTATTCCTTCATAAATTCAAGGTTTGAAGACACAAAGCTTTACTCTCATGCTTATCCCATTTTTTAAAATGGATAAGAAAAATTCTTGTCAAAAATGAATGACTCTGTGGTCAATTGATTTTGTGCTAAAAAAAAACCCCTGCTGCTTTCAGAGTACTTTGTATTGAAAATTTGGGTAGAAACAAATAACTAAACAAATAAAACCAAAGAGAGATAGGTAGCAGCCCTGATTGTATGCAGGAAAGGGTAGTGCATTTATGGGATAAGTAATCCAGATTACTTAAATCTGACACACAAAGGTGCCTGCGGAGCTATAAACTTTGTGTCATATTTGTGTGTTCTGTATAAGAGGCTCAAAGCAGTTTTAGATTGCAATCCTATACATAGATCATTTGGAGTATGTCATGTTGCAGTCAATGGGACTTATGCCCAATTAAGCAGAGACAGGATTGCAATCATTGGCAACATTTTACGCCTGTAGACACATTTGGAAATTGGAGAATGTGTCCTGGGAACCACCATAAAAGGGCTGTCAGGATATGTGTCAAAGGACATGCAACCTGCCCGAAAGATTAAGTGGAGTCTGAACCTCAACCGGCAAAACCTTTGAACCCACAGTTTTCAGTGCCAACAGAAACTTTTTTGTAGAAGACTTTTTCTTATTTCCTCTGTAAGACCCCTGTCCAAACACATTCCTTTCATTCCTTTCTTTCTCTTACTCTAGATCACCATCATATACATTGCCTCACCTTATGGACAGTTTGTCTCTGTCTCTCTCTGTCTCTGTCTCTCTCTCACACACCACCACCACCACCACCACCACCACAACCACGAAATTTGTCAAGGGATGCATGAGTGCCATGGGCACCACAATGTCTATTGCTATACATTTTTACCAGGGAGTAAGCTCCATTGAATTCAGTGGGGGTTTTTTGGAACAGACAGGCATAAGGTTGCAACTCTGTAAGGGAGATGAAAAAGCTACATTGGCTAGAATACCCATTCACATTGTAAATCTACCTTCTCTGCTTTTTGTGTC